AGCAGTATGCAAGCGATATAGTTGCTTTGTGTAACAAACACCTTATTAAACCTTGTTATAGGAAAATACTATTTAACAATAATAATTAGGATAGATTTCACTTATTAATCCTTAATGTCCAATCCATATATTCATTCACTATGTCACCCTGTTGTTATTGCTATTTCTTTTTATTGTACTGGCTGTATAAGTGTGCGATACTTGTTGTTATGTTTCTTACCTGTAATATAGAAATATACAATCTCTATTTCCAACTGTGAGTTAATTATATTTAGTACTACTATTGTTTTCTATGGTACTTCCACTATTACCCTATCATTATATAAAACCATTTAGACTAACAAGTATATAACAACGATTCTTGTTTGTTATAGTAATTCTCTATGTGCTATCTCTTGTTCTATTCTTATATTATATGATGAATCAAATAATTCCTACATTAGTTCACATAGCAATTGCCTATGAATCGTAAACTTTTGTTTTTCAATCCCTTAGTGTTGTTTCTATGATACTGGTATCCAAAGCGAATGTGAATCTTCTTACTTCTATATTCCATTTGCTATTTTCTTCAAAACTGTCTTTTTTCTTGAAAAGGCTTGTATCAACTTATAAAATCATAATACCCATTCAAATTGCATAGTTGTGCGTATTTTGAATCGACCTTATTGCTCAATACATTACAATACTCAAAAAACAACATCTCAAAGTGAATATATATATATATAGAGAGAGAGAGAGATATTATTCTATCACATCATTATCACGATTACTCTTTCTTGCTCTCCATATTAGAGTAGCCTCTATTTTTGTCTCAACATCATACAATTATCCATTTAGAAAGTCAAGTCAATCCACACAACAATCCTCTTCTCTCCCTTTTATTTGAAGATATTGCAAATAAACATAGACGCTATTCGCACGATTATGGATCTTCCACGTCAACTCATTTTTCGCTTTAGCAAATTGTGAAATAGTAAGTATAGATGGGGATATGCCATGATTACTAATATTTAAATAGTTGGACGCCTGTGCTACATCTTTTGTGAATGAATATGCAACAAGATTGTTCTCCTGCAAAACTCTTTCTTTGCCAAATCATATACTGTTCTTATGGGTTTTGTAGTGAGGGAAGAAGCGATCTTTGTCAGCAGTTCGTTTCTAGTATGAACCAAGAAGAAACAAGTCATCTAAAGAGGGTAGAAACAGAATATTTGTTAAAATTGGGAAAAGGATGGGAACCTTCCTTTTCTGAGAGTTTGTCATTCTTCTCGTCCTTTCCAATATGCGGACAGGCAGCTGAGGAATGGTGTCAACGCATTCATGATACTCACACACTCATTACCTGGTTTTCTCAAGTTGAACATTGGAAAAGTAATTATGACGAAGACAGCGAACCAGAGGAATTTCGAGATCTGCTCTATTTTGTTTCTACTATTCTGCATGCTTTTTCCCATTTTTCACTGATTCAGTGTGATTCGATTTTTAATCGCCTTCAAATCTATTTCAACAGTCATCCCAAACCTCCTCAGTGGTTTCCTCCATATAGTATTGACTTTACTCAAGAACAACGAGATTTCTGGACTCAACATGCACAAGAATCGTTATTTCAACATTTGGGAGAATTTGATATCGATTCTACCCAAAAATATCTGCAGTCCATCGTTCCCCAGCCACTTCAACTACTCGCTTCTATTCTCATTCTGAAGCAGGATTATTCACAAGCTCTATCACTACTCTCTCAGTCTTCACCCCCTATTTCCACTCTTTTTTCTCTTACACACTATTTTCTATCCCGAGGACAAACGATCGCCGCAACGCGCCTGCTTCAACAGCTTTCTATATTGATCCACTCATCCAAACGCCGAGAATTGGATGAGTGGCTGTCGATTCTCCAATTTGAATGTTCATTCAATCCACAGTTTCTATTCAACACTTCACTTAGCTCTACTTTTGGTTCTGGTTCTGGTTCTGGTTCTGGTTCTGGTTCTGATTCTCATTCCTATGCATTGTTTACGTTGTTGAAAATGAGCATAGCGCAACCACATATTCTTGATTCCCTGCCTTCCACTCTGCAAAACGAAATTCATTCTGTTTTGGGAGATGAAACGATTGGGGTAGAGTGTCAAGAAGTACTTGATTGGGCAGAATCCGAAAAGGGTTGTTTTGGAGATTGTTTGTCCTCATATATTGAAACACACGATGAAATAATACCCTTTCTCTCTTCAGAAGATCGGTTGTTTGTTGAACTCTCTCGGTCAGATGCGTTTCAACGAGTGGAGGATTTGAGAAAGAAGTATTGTCATTTCAAAATCCCGATTCTCGAGAATCGGAGCTATTTCTATCGGATGTGCACTTTTCTGAAAGAAAACCGGGTAATGGAAGCGCTTGGCTGTTTAGGATTATGGAGAATTGAACTGGAAAGCCTGTCTATGACTCAGATTGATTCTGAGATTGAAAGAGTGAAAGGAATTCTTTTGGAGAGTGTTTGTTGGTTCCGACTTGCAAACAAAGTCAAAGGATTGGATTGCTTACAACGAGCACGGCTTATATGTGATAAAAATAAGTTTGCTTTGTGGAACGGGGTTTGTGAATTGGTCTACGTATTGATGTCAATCGAGTCTGGAAGTGGTGTGGTGGATGGAGGGAAACGATTGAGTGAATTTTTGGATCTGTTTGTCAAGCTGCGACAAAAGCAATTGGTTCTTTGGACTTTAGGAGCGTTGTGTATTGTCCAATCCAGACGCGATATATATACTCAACTTCTATCTTTGCCTGAAGATCGAAGAGTGGAAAAGGAAGATCTTGTTTCCTGGCTTAGTAAGTTCAGTCAACTTTTTACTTAATTTGTTTTTTATTTGAGCAACTGCTGTTTGTTGTGAATTTATAAATTATCTATCTTCTATTTGACTCTTTGGGTAGGTAATGCTCTCTTTTCCCTCCATTTGTCTTGAATTTATGGAATTTGTTGAATTTTGCTATTTTGCTAAATCAATTCTAATTCTATTTAGATTGACTTGCCTTTGTTGCGGTTTTTTGGATTGATGAAACGCAACTGGAAGGAATTGAAAGAAATCAATAATTCGAAGAGTTCTTCTTCAATTGACACCTGTTCCAGCAATGAACTAGAGATGCAAAACCGATTGAATAGTTTGAAGGAAAAGAAGGTTCAGCTGAATTCCCTATCAAGTCCAGATAGTGGAAGCACTCTTGCTGATTCCATTGGGTTTCAAAAGGAAGATGCACAATCGTTGAAACTGAACGAGGCTGGAGATCTCTCGACTGTTTTATCTTCTATTAAGCATAACACTCTCCCGATCACTCCGAATGGGAAAGAGACTGTGACAAGTGTTCAAAGTTCTGTTCCTTGTTGTCATGGCAAAAGGAAATCAAAATTGGATTCTCCCTATTCAGGATCAGAGAAAGAAGAAGAAGAAGAAGAAGAGTGCGAACTGATCTCTCACAGAGTACTGTTTAGCTACAAATCGGTATTCATCAAGAGTATTGTGGATATTACAGAAGAGGACAAAGTTTGGATTGACACTGCTTATCATATAGAATCGTGTTGTGAAAAGACGAAAGTTGAACGATAGTGTGATCAACTTTTATATGAATTATCTAGTCACGCGCTATATCTACGATCAGCTGCTCATCCAAGGTTTTTCCGAACAAGAAGTAAACTCCATGTTTGTAGAAGGACAATACAAACAAAAGAATAACACGCCTGTATTCATTTCGAACATTGTAAATCAATTTTCCGTTTTCTCCACCTTTTTCTATCCTGTTTTGAACCAGTTTTACAAATCACACGACGAAAAATCGCTCAACAAAATTCGAAAGTGGGAGGGCCAAAACAATCTTTTCGCTCACGATTTTGTTTTGATTCCTCTTTACGAATTGTCAACCCTTCTCTTTTAGATTTATCCATAGACATCACTTTTCCCTTGCTCTTCTCTGCTATCCAAATAAACTTGCGGAATACATTCGTGACAAGCGAATCGTGAACGGTGTTGATTATTTCAAAGGGTCCATCGAACCCACACAGAACAATTCCACAAACGACAAACTTGTTTTATCTTATGTTTCTTTCCTTATGAATCTAGCCCTGCATCTTGATTTTGGACTCGCTTGAATCGTCTTGCTCCAGTGAAGCCGATGTGATTCGATCATTTCTCTCCATTTCTCTTCAAGAATTCCTCCACGTTCCTTGTGTTCTTACCGATATTCAACTTCCTCAGATTTGTCCCGCGGTTTCACAACAACGAAACTACGTGGATTGCGGTTGTTATGTGCTCGGGTTTGTGCAAGCGATTTTAAACAACATGACTGAAGTAAATCTTGTCGGCAATGCGCAATTGGTTAAAGAGAATGCGAATCAGTTGTTCTCGTGGTTGAAACTGCCGAGGAATTCGATTCGAACACTCCGAAGTCGCATTGTTCAAACCATTCAAAAACTCACGAAGACGACAGGCGCCGACGAGTTTTCGGTGGAATCATCTGATAGTTCTGACGTGGAAGAGATTCAACAACCCGAAAAGGAATCGATTTTGCCAGCAAAACAAATGAATGATTCGAATTCATCATCCAAAAGTGTGGATATCACGCGCCCATCGCCCAAGATTCTAACGGACATGCATCCGTCAATCAAATCACCTACCCATCCTCCCTCAGATAATGGAATTCCAGAAATAGTCCAGAAGATTCCACCGGAGAAAGAAGAGAAGAATGAAAAGAAAGGTCTTTCATTGTTTGATTTGCGTCCAAACCGCCCAGTCCTTTCTCATTCCATCGCTTCGAACGTTTCGAACGCTTCCAACGCTTCGAAAATGAAAGTGGAGAAAGTAAGGCCGATTCCTGGCATTGACGCACAATCCTCAAAACCAAAGCGAACCCAGTAGAGAATCAAGAAAAAACTAGTCATCTTGTAACTTATTAATCGAATTCTGCCTGCTTAGTTGTTTGCTTGTTTGTTTGTTTGTCAATTTGTTTATCCATCAAACACTTCAAAATAACAATCGTTCCACCATTCCTTCGCATTGACTTTCCTTCTCCACAGAGAACGGAAGCACCGTTTTGATCCGCCTCAAACACTCGCAGCAATCCTCAAAGCAAGCGTTCAAATCGCGTAACCGCGGCGCACACAACAAATAAAAATCATCACTCGACAGCTCGCAATTCTCCAAAATCGCTTCCTGACTCGGTTTCCTCCGCGCCTCCATCAACTTCCACACTGCTTCCACGCACGATCGCCACAATCTCACCACCAATTGATTGATTTCTCGAGGCACCGCCTGTCCCAATCGCTCGATTCGCGACTGCAGCACACGCAGACAGGGAAGCAGCAGCCGATTCACATCCGCTTGGTACTCGGCTTCCGTTCCTTCCGACAAACTCAGCAGCAATCGCTGCAGCAAATTCAACTCATTCAGCAACGCGTGCGGCTCGTTCGCCTTTTCCACCTCCTCCAGAATCGCGGCGATCGCGTAGAGAAGCACGCGCTGCTTCGCCTGCCGCACCATCAGCGTTAACCACGGGAGAATCCCCGCTTCCGCCACCAATTTGCGAGTCACCGCGGGAATGGCGACGAGCCGTTGAAGAATCGCAATGACGACTTTCTGGATGTAAGCGTCGGTGCGAGAAGAAAGAGCGAGCGATTGGAGCTCGGGGAAGACGTGGCGACGCGCGAGAATGTGGAAATCGCGCTTGGTTTGAACGCCTCGAAGGATGTATCGCATGCACCAGCCGCGAAGTTGGCGGTAATCGAGGCTTTCGGTGGCGAGAAGCTTCTCGAAGAGAGGCGTATCGAAGAGATAAAAGACGGGGTGAGAGAGCCAGAAGCGACTAATGACGGAATAGAGAGGGTTTTCGGGGCGTTGGAGAATGTAGATGGATTCGTTGACGAAGGAAGCGATGAGGGAGGGAAGGCGAAGTGCAGGATTGATGATGGAGTTCTGGAGCTTCAAGAAAAGCATGAGGATTTGTTTCTGCTCGAAGAAGGAAGCGTCGATGACGAGATCGACGAATCGTTGAAGCAAACAACTCGCTGTCTGTCGAATGATTTGATTCTCTGAAGTCAGACACGCGATTAAATAGCCAGCAACGCCATGAGCCAGATAAGCCTGCACGTTCACGTGGTCTTGGTAGAGATAATAGTGGAGAAGCGGCAGATAGAACGAAGGATCCACCACCATCACGCAGTCGCGCGAATCCAACGAAAACGAAAAGGGAGTGTGGAGAAGCGCGTCGAGGCAGTCGATCGAAGGATCGAACTGCGCCTTGCCCTGTTTCGAGTCTGTTAAATCCACGCTGTTTCGACGTTTCTCCTCCTGCATTTCGAGCCGATTTCGCTCCTCTTTTTCCTCCTCATCCTCGTTGTCTTTCCATTCAATTCCTTCATTCTCGCCATTCTCCTCATTCTCCGTTTCTCCTTTTTCTCCTTTTTCTCCGTTTCCTCCTTTTTCTCCGTTTCCTCCATCCTCGATCTCCATTTTCTCCTCTTCTCTCCATTCCCGCGGGAAATGCTCCACACTCTTCCGCAGCCGCAGTCCGCTCACCGCTTCCAGCATCCACGTGCTCGCTCTCTGCACCGTTCCATTCGAATTCATCGGCGCGAAGCTTCCAAACAGATAGCCGACGTCCTCCAACGCGAACACGCCGGCGAGGTCCAGCGCTCGGAAGGTGGCGCGAAGCAATCGGTCCTGCGGAGACAGCGAGCAGCCGTACATCGAAAGCAGCCGCGTGAAGAGCGCAGCCGAGCAATCCTGCGGCGAGAGATTGATGAGTTGCGTCAGAAGAGAGATGAATCGATAGGAGAAGGAGCGCGTCTCGGCGATTCCATCGAATTCCAGCCAGCGTTTGCGGTACTCCGCGTCGGAATGAGCGGTCATTTCCTCCGCGGCGCGTCGAATCATCGCGTCGAACTGCGAGTGCGTCGTCAGCAGCGTCAGCAAATGCCCCGCGGAGGCTTCGGGGATCGCCAGCTCCGCTCGCACCGCCGTTTCGACCAGCCGCGTCAGCAGCGCGATGGCCGCGGCATCGCCGAGTCGGTTGCGAAGCAGCGTGCGAACCAACCGCGCGTAGAGCTCGGGCTGCTTGCGGAGCACCTGCTCCAGCGCGGATTTGTGCGCGTCGCACGCCTCCAAAACCAGCAGAACGCATTGGGGAGAGGCGATTGGCTCGTCGGCCGCGGCCTGCGCGGCGGTTTTTCCGATGGCTTGGAGAGAGCGGAGCAAGACGATGGCGATGGCGCGGTCCGCGTCGGAGGCGAGGGAGGCGGCGGCGAGGAGAGCGCGGAGGCGGTCGGTTTGGAGGACGGAGGCGTGGAGCGCCTGCTTGCAGAGCGAGGGAATGTCGAGCTGGGCGAAGACGGAGTGAAGGGCAGGGAGCTGCGTGAGGCGATGAAGGAGGCGGAACTGGGAAGGAGAGACGTCGGAGAGGGCGAGGGAGTGGAGAAGGTCCTGGAGGAAGGGAGAGGATTGGAGAGCGGACAGGGAGGCAGCCAGAGAGGACGAGCGAGCGAGGCAGATCTCCACGAGAGCTGCGAGCTCGGCGAAGAAGGAGGCGTAGAAGGGAGACTGCGAGAAGGCGGTTAGAGAGGAGAGGAACGAGGAGTGGAACGCGGGCTGCAGCTGGAGAACCAGACGAAGCAGATTGCGGTAGAGAGCGTCGTCGAAATGGGAGAAACAGGCGTCCAAGAGACTGGAAGGCAGCAGAGCGACGACGTCCGCGCTGTACGAATCAACCAGCGGATGCAGCGCGTCGAAGAGCAGCTTCGCCGCGAGCGGCACGCGCGGCAACGCGTCCAGCAGCGAGGAGAGCAGCGTCGAATCGAGCGGAAGGGTCCACGGCTGCTGGGCCTTGCCGAGCTGCGCGAGAATGGCCGGGTCGTCGGCACGCTCCAGAATGAACGACACGACGGCGATTTTCTCCTCGGCGAAGAGCACGGGCTGCAGCAAGGTGAGCGCGAGAACGGCGACGGGGCTTTCCAGATGATGGAGAAGCAGTTCGGCGAGGGAGCGATCGAACTGATGCGCGGCTGCCTTCGCAGGGAGCTCGAAGAGATGCGTCAGAAGCGCGGGGGCCGCGGTGCGGGGCGCGAGCCAGAGCGAAGAATACGCGGGCTGCAGCGACAGTGCGAGCAGAGACGCGAAATCGGCGTCGGAAACGCGCGACTGCCAGAGCGAGGCGAGCGAGGCGTCGCAGAAAAGACTCGAAAAGAGGAGCGACTGAGCGGCGGCGGGGGAGAGAAAGCGTGGATTGCGCGAGGCGAGCCAGTCGGTGTCGTGGAGGATGGCGAGGAGCATGAGAAGGAGCTCGTTCTCGACGTTGGCGGTGCGTTCGGCGAGGAATCGAAGCGTGGAGAGGAGAGATTCGGAGTGGAGCGGAGAGCCGGCGAAGGCGAAGACGAGACTGAGGAGAGGTTGAGAGGGAACCAAGGGCTCGATCTGCTCGCGGAGAAGAGCGTGGTGTTGGACGGAAGCGAAGAGAGAAGCGGCGGCGGCGTCCCAGGAAGCTTGTAAGGAGGCGACGGTGGACTGGATATCGATTTGATAGACAGAGAGGGAGGAAGAAGAAGAGACGGATTGGGAGAAGGACTGGGGGTCGGACCAGAACGAAACGATGCGCTGGAGCGTCTGCAGCACTTCGTCGCTCAGCTTGTAGCCCAGAAGCTTGGTTCCCGTGGTTCCAGTGGATTTGTTTGATTCATTTGATTCATTCATTCCATTCGCTTTTTCTTTTTCTTTTTCTTTTTCTTTTTCTTTTTCTTTTTCTTTTTCTTCTTCGCCCATGGCCTCGCGAATGTATCGCTGCGTGAGCGAGAGAACGGAGGGCACCACCGACGGATTCGACAGCAGCAAAAGCTGCGTGAGCCACAGCAGCTGGAAGGGGGATCCCACAGTTTTGGGCTTGAAGAGAGACCACAAAAAGGCGTGGTAAAAGAGCGGGGTTTCTTCGTGGAACGCATGGTTCCGCGTGAGGAACACAAGACGCTGCCGCATCAAATCCTGCACACTATCCGCGAAATAAGGAATCATTCCGGGAGTCAGCGTGCGAAGCACGAAATGAAGGAACGCCTCAGCGAACGGAATCCCCGCGAGTAATCCCAATTCCCGCAGAATCGTCAGCAGAAGCGACTCGATGCGACTCACCATCGTCTTGTGGTTGTTTCGTTCGGGCAGAACCGCGGTTAAGAGAGCGAAAAGCGGGCGAATGGGGGGCTTTCCAACGAGAAGCGTGTGTCCGAGCGACGGCGCCAATTGGATGAGAAAGGAAAGCAGAGAGAGGGAGAGCGACTCGGGAACGGAGAAGAGAAAGACCGTGTCGTTGATGGGCGTGAAGAGAGGCAGGATATCCGGGTGGTAGTGCGTGATATCGATGTGGAACAGGCTGATTTGATGCACCAACAACGTCGTGATGCGCTGCAACATCGTGAGAAGAGTGGGAACCGGACTTCCCGCCGCTTTTTCTTCGCCCTCCTCGCCGCCCTCGGCGTCCTCCACCTCCATCCCGCCAATCTGCAGGTTCATCGTCTCCGTCGTGGGCGTTTCCTTCTTCACCTCGCCCTCCAGCGGCTTTTTCTCAATGGCAAAAATCGTGACTTTTTTGAAAAGACTCAGCTCGCTGTCCAGAGACGGCAGCAACGCCATGTAATGCTTCAAGAACGGCTGAGCCTTCTCCATCGATCCGTACAGCTCCCACCCCACCCATCGCAGCCGTTTCATCAGCTCCTGGATCAGTTCCGCGGTTTTTAGCATCACATTGGGGGTCGTGGAGCTCAATCCCTTCGCCAACATCTACAACAAATCGGCCCGATTTCTGGACTCTACAGCGCGGGAAATCGATTCGGGCATGAGCCAGGTGTGCAGCTGCTCGAAGAAAGCGTCCCCGATGCCGGTTTGGCTGGCGGTGTAGGCGTCAGAAGGCAGCGCGAGCGGCAATCGCAAGACTTCGATGAGGAAATCGATGGTGTGGAACCAGACCTCCGAGTCCCGCGGGTCCAAAATCCAGTGGATCAGCGCGCGAGACTGGCTCCGCTCGACGACCATGGCGGGTTCCCCGTTTCCCCGGTTGCTGGCGGTAGAGGAGGCGTTGGCGGGTTGGGAATCGGCGAAGAGAAGGAAGAGAACCTCGGGGTGAACGCGAAGAATGGCGAGGTAAAGCGAGCGGTCGAAGGCAAATCGGAAAGGATTCAGCACGGAGAGCACGCGGAAGATCATCGTGGGCACGTGCGAGGCGAAGGAGAACGTGGAGAGCGCGTCGTAGAGGCAGCACGGGCTCTTGGCGAAGAGGCTGCGCACGAAGACCGCGAGCTCGGCGTCGGGAGGAAGCGACTGGCAGGCGGAGAGAAGCGAGCTGAGCACGTCCCAGGAGAAGAATTCGCGCTTCATGCGGAGGGAGAGAAGCGAGCTGCTGAGCACGTGGCTCCGGAAGAGAGAGAGGAGCTAGAGAGAAACGAGGAAAAGGGGAAACCTCGTGGAGGAGATGGCCACGGTCGGAGGAAAGGCGGGAAAGAAGCGCGGAAATGACGTCTTGGCGAAGAAGAAGCTGCTTCCCCGTCTGCTGAGGGTCTTCGTGGATCACCGTGGCGATCCAGAGACTCACGCGGTAGCGAGTTCGCTGCGATTGGATCATGACCGGAAGGTCGGCGATCGATTCCAGCGGAATCTTGCGATTTGTGAGTTGGACGGCTGCCGCGCCAACGAAGGCGATGGAACGAAGGAGGATGCATACGCTGTTGATGGAATCGATGTTTTTGGAGAGAAGAGCTCCTTGGAGATCGTCATTTCGGTTCTTGAGAATGGAAATGCACAAATCCCTTTTTGTTTGTTCGTCTGCATATCGAATCACCTCCGCAACCGCCTCAAAAACGGAAAGCAAGCAAGGTCGCTGATAATCCTAGAATTTCACTTTACTATCGAAAACAGCGTACTCCGTGCAAATTGTCCCAAATATCAAACAGCTCCTGGAACTTTGGAGACGATTTCATGTACTCGGTCAGAAGGCACGATTCGGACTCGATAGAAACTCCCTTCTGACGCAGTCGATTGCAATCGCTAATAAGCGTACGGAGTCCTACCAGTCACTACGAAACTCGCTCCCCCCACCTCCATTCACTCTCTCCTCCTGCTGACAGGTAATATCAAGCAGAAAAGTCTTTAAATTCATTTTATGGAAGCGCTCCTAGCTGTATTTGGCGCTTTCTCGACCCAAATCCGCCTTCCTCAAAACCTCCAAATTCCCGTTTCCAAACAAACAACGCAATGCACACCTTTGCTCGCCATGCCTCTCGCGAAATTTTTATTCTTACGATCCTTGTTCCGCCGTCCAGGCATTTTCCCGTGGAACTGATACGAGAATTGTCGGAATGCCTCCTTCGTGGTGAGCAGACGCCCGTTCTTATCGCGGTGTTCCAGCGTAAATCCGCCTATTTCTCTGCAAAACCCCATCCCTACTTTCCTCATTCGATGATCTGATCACCGTGTCATTCCGCCGTCCGTAGGCTTCTTCCTCCACGTCTTCCACCTTCTGCGCGCGCAGATACTTCAGCGCGTCTCCCAGGCCTCGGCCCAGCCGTGGCTGCTCGAAGAAGTCCTCCATTTCCTCCGACTCCGATTCGCTTTTTTCCGCCGATTTTTGGACCTGCGAAATGATTGGCTGATCGGAGAGAGCCGTTTTCGATTCGGCTGCATTGGGGGGTTCCACAGTTTCCCCGGTTTCCCCGGTTTCTCCAGTGGTTTGCGTTTGATGCGTTTGTTGCGTTTGTTGGTCGTTTGGTTCGGTTTCTTGCGGTTTCTCCGTTTCCCCGATTTGTTTCTCCGTTTCCCTGATTTGTTTCTCGCGCTCCTGCTCGGCCATGACGGATTTGAATCGCTTGCAGAACTCATTCACACGATCCACATCGCTCTCCTCCTTCCCCGTTTCCCCTTTTTCAGTTTCCCGCTCCATGGCGATGCGTTTCGCCATTTCCTCGGGCGAGTTTCTCCGTTTCCCCAGCACAACGCGGCGAGCGCGCAGCAGCCAATCAGAGAGCACGCCGTCCTCGACGGGTTCCTCCCCGCGGGACTCGCCTCGCAACTCGCGGTTCTTGGCCTCCTCCTTGGCGCGCGCCTTGGCGAAGCCCCGCTGTCGCTCGGCGGCCTCCTCGGCGTCGATGAGTCCGCGCGCGGCGAGCGACCGCGCAGACCGCGAGGCCCGATCGCCGTCCTCCAAAGCATCCAGCTCCTCCAGGGCGTGCAGAGCGCTCACAGGGCTTACAGGGTTCACAGCGTTCACAGGGCTCACAGCGTTCACAGGGCTCACAGGGTGCAGAGAAGAAGGGGAGGAGGAGGAGTGATCGGGGTTTGAAGATAAGGAGTGATCGGGGTTTGAGGAGAAGGAGGATAAGTGGGATTTGCTCAAAGACTCAGAATTGACCAACTTGGATTTGCCTTGTTTCTCGGCATTTCCCGATGACTCAGAATTGCCCAGTGACTCAGAATTGCCCAGCTTGAATTTTCCCGATGACTCGGCATTTCCCAGTTTCTCAGCATTTCCCGATGACTCGGCATTGCCCGGTTGGTCGGGCTTTTCCGGCTGGGCTTGTCGCACGCGTCGGACTCGCTTGCGTTTCTTTTTGAACTGGGCCATTTCCTCGGTGGAATAATAATCCGACGCCACGCGTTTCGACGAATCCAAGCTCTGCAGCAGCGCCGACAGATCCTTCCGCGGGGATGACCCCGATTTCGCTTCCGCGGGGATCGACGCCGTCGACGCGGCCTCGCCCGTTCCCGCGGTTTTTGCTCCCGTCTGCTCGTGTTTCGCGGTTATCGGGTCGGAATTGGGGGCGAGTCGGAAGAAAACTTCGCTCTTGGGTTTCTACATGGAAGAAAACCGCGGTTCTGACCTCGTCGTACTGCGGAAGGATTCGGTCGTCGGGCGTGAAGCCGGGATCGAACTCGTCGTCGTCGTAGCCCGTGTATCTACGTCCCAGTTCCCCGGTTTCCCTACATCGGGAGTTTCGCTCGCTCGCGCAGCCGGTTCAGTTCCTTCTGTTTTTCCGCGGTTACCAGCTCCACGCTCTCCAGCACGTCCTCCACTTCCGCGGGATTGCCCTGTGCGTCGAACAGCGGCGCATCCTACCCTCGAGTTTCCCCGTTTCCCCCTACTCGCAGCGTCAGAACCGTATCTCCCTCCGCGAAATCCGTCTTCGCGTGACCGACTTTCATTCCCGCCAACGCTCTTTCCACCTCCTTCGTTGCCGCCAATTTCTTCGCCTCCGCGTCCTCCGCTTCGTGGTCCAGCGCCTCCATCGCTTCGTCCTGCTTCGCCTCGCTCTGCGCCAACTACACGGTCAATTTTCTCTTGTTTTATAAAGGGTACCCAATCATTTAGGGACATGTTTTGGTACTCTTTCGATAATATGTCCCCTAACCCTTTCCCTTGCAAATGGGCCAGCGATTCACGCTCGCGACGTTGTCGGCTCTGCTCCAATTTGGCGCGGATTTCTTCTTCGCGACGGCGTTTCTCCATGTCGATGACCACGTAGCCCTCCGCGTCGACGGTCCCTTCGGCTGTGGCTTGGGAGTCTGCAGGCGCGGCGGTTTCTTCGAGTGGCGGCAAACCGAGTTTCGCGCGCAATTTGTTGGTCTCTTCCACCGATAAGGAGATCTCGTCGCCTTGCTGAGAGGGCTTCGGAGCGGGGCTATCCACTTCTAATGGGGGAAGGCCCAGACTGGCACGCAGCTTGTTGGTTTCCTCGACGGACATGGAGATCTCGCCATTCGATTCCTCCACTTTGAATTTGGATTTGAAATCTTGTTTCTCTTTTGGGGTAGCACGCGATCGGGAATGCTCGGGAGAGCGGGATCGGCTTGGGGAACGAGAACTGTAAGAATAGGAGTAGCTGGATGAACGGCTCGGCGAACGGGATCGCGAACTGCTGTAACTGCTATAGGATGGTGATCGGCTTCTTCTGCGAGAACTACGATGAGAATCTCGTTCTCTTCTGGAACGGCTCGATCGATGATACGATCGGCGACTCCTACATTCAATTCTATAACAGAATTTACTCAGAACGACTGCGACTCCGTCTGCGACTGGAATCTCGTCTCCGGCTCGAACTTCGGCTTCTACGATCTCTTCTTGACATAGATACCACGAGTCTGCTCTATCAAGCGATTTCTAGCCAAGGCAGCAAAAATGAAACTCCCAAGTATGAAAACAAACAAACAAGCAACAAAAAAACTTAAAAACCATTCCCTAAACAGACAAAAGGCACAGTGTGTGGTCTCCTAACTTCAACGGACGCAAAGCTGCGATTTCTTGGAGCGGCTCTGGCAGTTGAAACTGCGTGGAATGGGGGATTAAGATGCTCGCGCTTCGCAGCAAATCCGTCTTCTTTAGACTGTACACCAGCTCAAACAGAGAATGGTAAAGTTGATCCAGCTCCCGGAAGCTCTTGTATTGCTTCATGTAGATTGGTGGCTACATCGCAGCGTTCTCACGATTTTACGTTCGCTAGGATCACGATATTGTCGTGATAAGCCTCCTTGTTCATTTTAATCGCTTCGACAAGCAGCTCGGCGCGATGTTCAAAATCCCCCTGTGTAAACGTCAAATTCTACCAAGAATCGCGGGTTCCCCATTTCTACTTTCGGAATTACCACTTCTTCCACTTTCTGGTTGGCATCGCGTCGAAGTACATTTCGAATGTTCTGATCCGAGCAGAAAATCGCTCGATCCGCGATATCCGAGCTTAAAATCGCATAATCGCCTGCAGATCAGCGTTTTCTTTTCATCTCCCACGCATCAACGGTCCCTTTGCCGATTTCTCCGTTTCCACGTTCTCCACCAACCTCTCAAAACCCGATCGATCGTGACACGGCCAGAATTCGAACCTGTTCGCCACATCATGTCCATGCCTACCCATGTCGAAACTCTTTGAGCAGCCGCTTTCTCTGCAGATAGGGATAGTCTCGCTGAAGCAAACTGTGCATTTCGGCCGCGAGCACGCCCGACCCACAGAAGAAATCGAACATCAACATGTTGTTTCGGCGCAATAATCCCTTCCGAACCGAATCATAGCAAACTAAACAGAATAACCGCGGAACCTGTACGAGCCGCAGCGATCGTCTCTTTGAGAGGCGTTTCAGCGAGGTGTTGGCGATAGCCACGCGTGGATTGGAAGCCGCAATCGACGCTAATTGTGATTTTGTCGCCTCGAATCTGCGAAATGAGTGGAAACGAAAGGTGGAAACGAGGAAAAAGAGGTTTTTGGAATTGGGCTGGCGTGTGGTGGATACGGATTTGGCGAGTTGAGGGAGGGGAGAACGTTCTAGAATGATGGAATTGATGTCTCGTGGGAAGAACATGTTATTACGAATGATGGTCTAGGAGTGGAATGTGTGCCGTGGTTCTACAGTTCGAAGGGTTACGTTGTCGTTTTTCGTAATGTATTTCTCCCAGGGAATCTCGGATATACCGTTTTCGATTTCACGGGGATTGGAGACGATAAATGTGCTAATGCGCATTCGGACACTCTCTACAAGTTAAAGCCATCGCAAATGTCTACCTATGATTCGAGAACAGCACATCATGCGCCAAAACTGCTCTTTCTCCACTAATGATGATTCCACTATTCGTTTACCTACATTGCAATTCCACTCCTCCACTATAATCACGATATACACAGGTCGAACGGTTACAGACCTTTAGTTTCTCCAACTCATATTGCAGTAACGACTCCAGACCTATGTCCCAACAAAAATGATCTTTTCAAACCTGGAATCACTGTCGCCCAACAATGGAGCGATCTACGGAATCCCCTTTGTGATACCGAAATCATTCACTTGAGCGATGCCAGTACCAATTCTGGATTCAAGAATAGAGAAAGATGTGTATTTTTCTCTACATAACTGCCCTGCTTTTTATCGATTTACCTGGAACAATTGTTTGATTCATACAGAAATGATTGGTCTGCACTGATTAATAATAAGAACACATGCCAATACGATCACAAGACAGATTCAAAATCATCTTGTTGAGCTGAATGTCATTTCGATCACGCAATGTTTAAATTCTGAACTGATATCATGAGTAGATTCGCAGTATTGGAGAGGATTTCTTGAACGAGATGAAACCGATATCGGATCGTAAATCTTCGATCCAAAGTCTGATTACTTTTGTCCAGAATGGCCAACTACCAACCGGAATCATCCCATTGCAGAAGGACTTTCGAGAAGTCATTGTATTCATTTTTGTATGCAATAATGGTTAGGGGGAGTGTATTCGAGTTATTATCAATCATCAAAACGACCTTATCCCCATTGTGTTCGAGTTCTTGGAGGTTTTGCTTCAACAAACAGGCAAGGATTTTGGTGGAATTGCAAACAACCTCTATTCCTACTTGCTGGATTATTTAAATGACCCTTCTTGTTTTTCCCTCCAAACTGTTCATCGGTTTCTAAAGTTGTGCATTTTCAAGTGCAACTGTAGCCCACGCTTGATTACCGAGTTGTTACGCGTGACGCGCACGCTCAAAGCTTCCAGTCCTTTAATCCCCTGCTTCATCGAATATCTCCACTTTATTTGCAGCTACGAGCCAGACAGTCTTCGCATCATCCAAAACTCCCTCCAGCAACTCATCAACGAACTCGCGCAGCGAACTACCGGTGACAACCACAAAGCAATTCAGCAACTGAACGACATGTCCGATTTCCTTTTATTTCGTAACCTTCAGACTCCATCGCACTCTCCATAGACAGGCGATGCCATCTTCCACATTTGACTTTACATTTCAATCCGACCCTTCCTCTTCTTCTTCTTCTTCTTCTTCTTCCTTTTCTCTTTTTTCGTTTCGTTGCTTTTTCGTTCTTTGCTCCATTTGTGTGATTTGCTTCTTTACCTCGCTTTTCCTTCTCTTCCGCGTTCTTTCCTCTTTTCTCTTTCTTTATCGTAGCCAAGCCAATCCGAACCTGAAGAATCCACTTCCTCGCCCAATTTCGATTCCATTTCCAATGTACCACAATCGGTGCCCAAATTAATAAAACAAAACGACGACTGGGTCATTATCGATTCTTTCGAGCAAAAACCCGATCCACTCCCCATCCAGTTCGATGTCTTCGAGGAACCCCAAGAAAAGGAGAAATCGTGGAAATCGGAGAACATTGAAGTGGTAGAAAGTGGAAACGTGGAAGAGAACATCGTGGAAATCGTGTTGGATGAAGAGAATCAGGAGAATGGGGAAGGAGGTGTCGTGGTGGTAGTCGTTATGTTGATTTTGATGGCTTATGCGATTTGTATGCGATTGCAAACGATAACGAATAGATGTCATCATTAACAATGGAATGGGGTTCATGACCGGGAATCGATCTGCTGTGAATCCAGATGTATCAGAAATCTCGCATCTGTACGATAACTCATTTAAATACTAGTTGGTTTTGTACAATATGAATGTTTGTGAAAGACATGCTTACTTTTTCTTTAGTTTGACTTGATGCCAGGTTTTTTATGGTTGATTGGGTATGATAAGTAGTTCCTAGTGATTCCAATAACACTGTGGAGTATCGTTGCGGTGGTAAGCCATTTACTTGTCGTTTTGACTTGTAGGTTGCGGAAAGGTCGTAGTGTTCAACCCTCATGAGCCTATTCGTTGCAAAGAATGCTCCTATCGTATTGTCTACAAATCGCGAACGCAGAGATGTAGCCATATGTTTCCTACCTCTTTACATTTAGGCATTCAGTATGAGGCAAACTAGACATAAGACTTGTAGTTTAGATACATGTTTGTTCGATATACGTTGAAAATGAGGAAATAATTGGTTACGGAGTTGGTGCAATAGGTGGAGTGGAGCCAACCCATATTTCACTTTTTTGTTCTTCCATGAATTGTTTTGATTGTTTTGCTCATGTTTATGTATAGCTGTTGGTCAACAAGAACCTGGAGTGGAATATCGTTGCGGAGGTGAGTGGTTTTCCATTTTTGTTCTTTTTAGAATGTGGGAAGATCGTGAAGCTCAGCGCAAGTGACCCGATCTTTTGCGTATACTGTGGGTACCGAGTTGTTTTCAAATTGCCTATCAAGAATGGTTCGTGTTTGTTTGTGTGTCTAACGAAATAGAGAATCAGTACGAAGCAATTTAAGTCAATGTATACTCTGAAACAAGTTTTGTTTGTTTTCACTATACTACACTTGGCGGTTTGCTTGATTTTTTATAATTGATGTTTACTTCATCCGAATTCATAACGGTTCTTTTTACCGGAGGAAGAGTTGAGGGAGGTGGTGGCGGAGTTTTCTTTTTCTTGTTTGATTTTCTCTTTTGTTCTTGTACTTGTTCTTCCTGTTCGTTTTCCTGTTCGTTTTCCTTTTCGTGTTTTTTCTCTTGTTCTAATTTTGGTTCTTTCTCCTTGATTATCACTGGCAGCTTCTTCTTTTTCTTATGAGGGCAAATCTTACAGCAGAGCGAAAGTGCCCACAGCACCATCACTCCTACTACCAATATCACGATAATCGTAAACTTTGGCGTAATCACCGTGGTTTGCTCAGGCACATAAACCATTTTCACATCGCCTGTTACCACAAATGCGCCATCTGTGAGTTGCAGCTGAAGTGAATCGTTCAATCGATACATTGCTTTGTACGATAAGGATCCCAGAGCGAAGCTGATCGCGCTTAGACTTCCTTCCACGGTCACTTTACTGTTATCTCTCCCTTCTCCATAGTTTCCTGAGACCCATTTGAGCGGGTTCATTGGATCGTTCGTGGTGGAATTGATATAGAAGAGACCTGAAACAGTCGAGATTTTCAGTTCACAGAGTTGTGTATCATTATCGTAATCGATTAAAGTGATATTTTGAACTGGAACAGAATCATAAACTTTGAAATAGAGTTCAGAAGGTACTTTGAGAATAGGGATCGTGTTGTTATGAACAATATCAATAAGAAGTGTGTAGGACGGAGAAGAAACTCCCTTGTGGATAATGACATACTCTATCGAATCCATTGAGTTCCCAATATCTTTCCCATAAATAGTTTGGGATGGAGACGAAAAATAGAATTCGTGGCTACAATATTGCAGGATTTTATTATTTACGTTCTCAATGGTTCCATAGCGAGGCATTGCCACGATTTGCAACTCCACTTCGGAAGTCAAATCAGTTCCATTCGTTGAGACAATCGGTAGAGACAAATTTGTTTTCTCGTATTGATTGACCGACATCATTGAAAGTTGGGGAGATAAAGTATTGACACCAGTAAACCAATACGTTGTGATGTTGGATTCTAAGCCATGTATGTCTCCAACTACAAATTGAATGCTACAATTGTCTGACTGGAGTGAGTTTCCGATGAACCACACTTCAAACCGCGTGTTATTCAATATCATATCATTTGATAAATCAGAAATAGAGCAAATCGGCGAAATAGACAAAAAACGAGTATAAGCAGCGTCCCCATCACTATCTATCATTTCAATATCCACTATAGAGGAAGTATCGGTCGTGATATTGAACCAACAATCCCAAGTGATTGGAGGCTGGTTGACCCAGGCCACAAAAATCGAAATTGGAATCGGATTCGAAATGCCATAAGGATTCTCAACTTGTACAGTGAAGTTGGAATACTCAGTAGCGCTATATTCGTTGTATTCGGGTTGATAAAAGAGTGTTGTGGAGTTCAAAACGATTCCTTCAGGAGGACACGAATTAATGGGTTGCATGGTTGCATAAAAGAGTTGCCCTATAGGAGGAATGGAGCGAAGAATTATCTGAACCGTGTAGTTATCTACAAGATTTGTATTCGTATCCAAATTATAGTCTTGGATTAAAAGTTCAACGGGAAACACGCTGTTCATTGTCCCATGCACTTCTCGCTGTTTGATTGAAGCAAGAGATGGAGGGAGAAAGCAATTGTAATTGTAGATTACTTGGTCATAGGTGAGAGCGTGATCATAGAATCCGAAATAGTAAACTTCATTGTAGTACATAATTGATTCTGAGCCAGCATCTGTTCGAGACAATATCAGACGAGCACTTGCATTCCAATTGTTTAAGTCAATAGGATTTTGTGGATTCAATCCGATCGTAGTTCCGTTAATGTAGGCTGTGGCATAGGTTGCATTCTCAGATAGTTGAACAGTATATACAATATGAAGCAACTGTGCGTCATTGTTATGACTTGTTATAAACGAAGCATATTGATTATCAATAATGTGCAATAACAAATATGTACCACCAATCAGCAAGGAGAAAGATATATCCTCATAATGGTTTTCATCCATTTCATTTCCTCCGGTTATCAAAAACATATTCTCAGGATTTCTAGAAGGAGCAAGATAGTTTATCCACATTTCCACAGTTAACTCTTTCGTTTCATTGATCCTCTCCAAGATTCTTTCAAAAGTACCCGCGCTTTTTGCTGCAATACCGTTCTTTGCACGAATATTGCGATATCCACTTCGTTCAAGACACTCTGCAGATGCCATCTTTTGTAGATTTCCAAATGATGAGCCATTATTAAATGTATGCGGAATGAAATACCCATTTTCACACTCAGTCTGCGAAAATGTGTACTCAAACAACTGATGAGTATTGTTCCTATCTACAAACACTAAACCGGAGCATGCAGCAAGAACAAACCCAGCAATAAAAAACAACATTATTTTTATTTACAAGCAATAGATTACGGGAAAATAGAATCGCTAACTGATTGGTCAAAAGTCATACTGTCAAACTCTGTGTTTTATCTTGCTTTTCGTGGACTCTTTTTTGTTCTAGAACCCAGAACCAGTCTGTCGCAAAGAATCAGTGACTCTATTTCATAGTCCTTTGCTTCAAAGAATGCTTCTTTTTTGCCCGCTTTTTTGATATTCTTGTTATGCAACCTATTCTATCTCATCAGGGAACAGCACCAACACAGAATCTCTCTATCCTATTCCAATCTCCATCAAAAAAACACACCACACCCTTCAATTCTTTTTTCCAACAAACACACAACCACTCTACGCATCCTCTTTTACTCCGTGTTTCCAATGTCCTTCCCGCGGCAAAAGGCTGCATACACCGCTCCCAAAACGTTTCCTCTGAATCCCTTCTTCTCTAAATACTCAACTCCAGCGATCGACGTTCCTCCAGGCGAGCAGACCTGATCCTTCAACTCCGCTGCCCTTCATTCCCCGCCTTCTCCCCTACCTGGATGCCGATTCGTCTGAATCACCATCTCTGCTGCGCCTCGTACGGTATACGCAGCCAGATTCATCGCTAAGTCACGCGGAAGACCCGATTTCACTCCGCCATCGGCGAGTGCCTCGATAAGCATGTAAATAATCGCAGGACCGCTTCCTGCAAGTGCCACGACAGCTATTGGTCATGAATCGCGAAGGGGCTCACCATCCATGTAGCACTCGGGGATTTTGAGCGTTTCGCCGAGCTTTCCGAACATGTTCTTCATCAGTTTGTCGGTTTCCTCGTCTGTGTTGGGACCCAGCGTGTAACAGCAGATTCCCTTGAGAACACCGCACGGGGTGTTCGGCAAGAGACGCACGATTCCACACGTTTTGGGATGGATCTATCGGAAAGAACATTCTTCGAAAGTACTCTATCTCGGATCTGAGCGATTTTAATTCCGCAAGCAATAGAAATAAAGAGCTTCTTGCGGTCATAGTATTCTCCCATGCTCAACGGACTATGGAGGAGAGTGAGCAAAACATCGGGCTAAAGCTTAGGAAAGTGACACGGACCAACTTTCACTGCGAAGACAATAATGTCGCACGCATCGACCAGCGGGGTAATACCGTCATTCACGATAATCCCAACGGACTTGAAGTAATTGGTTCTGTCCTCACTAATATCAAACACGTGGATGTGGTCTTTCGCGAAGGTCTCCGTTTGCAGAAACCCCGAGATCATGGCTAGACATCACGACCCAGCACCATTCCCACTGGTTGCCATAACTCCTCCTCCAATGAATCCGATATGGTACGCGTCGAGCATTCGTGGTGAAAAAAGTGAGGAGCAAACAAAGCAAGACCAGACCAGTCGAGGTCTCACCAGCCGCACCACAACTTCACAGCCAAAAGTGTGTGAAACAAACAACGGAAAGGACTGTTGCGGTACCACAAGCAATAATAAAACTTCAAAGCCAACTAGCATATAACAATTCATTCCTCTTATTCCTCCTCCTTATCGCTCTTCTTCGAACCCTTTTCCTTACGGCTCTTCTTCTTCTTCTTGTCCGACAGGAAGAAGTAAGCATAGGAACCAGACAGCTGAGCCATGCCAGAGCGGAAGTAATCATCGAACGTGCGGTACTCGCGGTTGGGCAGATTGAGTCCGGACAGCCACATATTCCAATAAGCTATCGATTAGTCCCAGCAGAAAAAAACGTACTTCCCTGAATCCAAGCAGTCCACTTACGATAGTTACCGGCTACATAACGACCCTGAAGGAAAGACAGAGGGGTCAGACAGAAGAGAGAGATCATATAGGCCTGAGGAAGATCCTTCACGACCTTGGTCTTCCAATTCTTTCGGATAGTTCCATCGCGCCAGAACATCACAGACAGGAAGGTGATGGACTGGGTGATAGGGAACAGCAGGTTGAGAACCAAAGTACGACGAAGAACGTCATTGAAACGGGTCGTTGGGAAAAGCTTTCCAGCAGCAGTATTGGCAAGATGATTGCCTAACCCGGAGAAAGTGAAACCAGCTGTAAAGAAAGCGAAAGCACGGCGAGCTTCCCTACGAATCAGTCAGATTATAAATTTCTTACAGCTTCTCTCTCTTCAGCGCGATCTTCTGAGTGAGAAGGTCACCACACCCCATATACGTTCCAACAGTGAACAGAGTTTTGAGAGTGGGCTTAAATCGAGCTAAAGCAGAACTAATAGCAAGAGACATTGTATCTAAAACTCCAAATGGAGTAAATAGAAATTAGTGTAAATAAGTTTGAAAGTGGAAATGGAGTTCGTGGTTTCTACATTTTGAAACCCCCACTTATCCATTGTCCGTTAAAGCAAGTTCAAAAATTACCAGTCGATTCTTTATGTCACATAGATTGTTTTGAGTAGTTGGTGACACATATAATTCGGCATGTTCTTATCTTTTCCAAAATGAAACTCCCGTTCTGGAAACACTCTATTTTGTAGCATAGTGGAGATCCAATGTCTAAACCTTCTTTTGTTAATGGAGAATCGATCGATTTTAAACTTATTCGAACTATTAACAAAAGTGATCTTTGCGACATTTTTGGCAATGTATTTTCCGTACTGCATTTGACTTATCTAGATCGAAGGACCCAAATGTGTCGTTCTAGATATGGACCTAAGTAAAAGCATCAACATTGCCCTCGAGGGAGCGTCAATCTTTAAAGTTTTGGTTCCATATCCAATATAAACGATAGGAAAACAATGTTATCACGTTTTCTAGACTCACAGGCGAAAAGGTGTTCACAGAAGCGCTCAACATTGTGTTCATCTGCAAGAGCAATGCAAAATCCATGAAGTTGGTGGTGAGTGTGATTAATCAGCTTCGCGAGGAAAATGTGGTTGGGTGTGGCGTGTGTGTTATGTAGGTCTCCTATTCGTTCTATATTTTGCTGGTTCCCCACCGAACCCAATTCGCTGTTCAGTTCCTTCGTGATAGCAAGCTCTATGAGTTTGTTACGCTGTACGATCTCGAAATCAACCTAATCCCCACCGATAACGACCTCATCAGCATGGAGATCACGAACTCGCTTTCCTCGATCTATCTGAAGCACGACTACACTCCATTGAAGGATATCGCACGAGCCGTGCTCAAACTCGAAGTTCTCTTCGGAGCCTTCCGATCCTTCCATGCGATCGGTCCGTTGTCTCGATCTGTCTTGAACTTGATGAAAGAGCTGCAGCCAGACGACGACTCTCTCTCCGTTGATGTGGAGTTCGGTTGTTACATAGTCCATTCCTTCTTCGTTAAATCGTTTGATTCTGATAGATCGCTCTGTGGACTGGGTCAGCCCGTTTACGACATCATTAACTTACGAGTCACTTATCCATGAAGTGCCTTGCGATCTCGGCTCAGCTCACTTCGTAGGTTCTGGGAATGGATTGTGGAGGCGTTTCATTGGAGGGGAGTCGAATTGGAAAGAAGGAGAATGTCGTGTCGATTTCGTTGAACACGAACGACGCTCTCTTCTCCGAAATCGCAGATTCGAACATCAGCACCGTTCCTCAGTTGCTGAAAGAGAAATGCAGAGAGATCGAAGGTACATCTTCTTCCATCATCATCATTACCATCCAGCGTTCAGCAAAAATCGCCCCATCAGCAGCGACAGCAGTGTCAGTGAAATCGCAGCATACGCCGGGAAGGTCGGCACGATTTCGGAATTAAAAGAAAGTTTGCAGATTCATTTGGAAGTTCGTTTTTTTCCCTCCAAACTCATTTTCTTCAGATCGCCAGTCAAATCACGGCCCGGACGAATGCTCCCTCCTTCGGCGAGCGATGGCAGCGCGAGCGAGAAATTCTGGAGGGTGGCAACGCATCGGACTTCATTACGGGTCTGCTCAACCGTGAGGTCAAAACCCGATCACTCCTCGATCGTAGCACCCCATTGAAGAAGTCCTGCACTACCTTCTTCTCTTCTCCGCGGTGAACCGAGGTCTCAAGCCCAAAGAGCTCGATTCCATTCGTCGCGAGTTCATCCTGGTTTCCCCGTTTCCCCTTTTCTGACGCACAGAACTTCGGCCTCGAAACGCTCCCTCTGCTCACCCTCTTGGACCGCTGCGGGCTTCTCTCTCCCCGCGGTTCTTCCTCGAACTTCGCGTCGGTGCGCTCGAAAATGCGGCTGATCCGCGACGACGTCGACGGCTCGCAGCGCTCCGATCTCAAGTCGCCTCGTCTCCATCCTTCTCTCTAGCTATGTGACGTCGGGGTACGCGCCGCTGCTGGCTCGGATCGTGCAGGCGCTGCTGCAGAGCACGGCGCGGATGGAGGACGTGGGAAAAGCCGTGGGATTTGAGTATTTCCGAGAAGAAGGAAAGGGAAGGGAGCGAGCGGGCGGCGTGGATGTGGTGGTGGTGGTCGGAGGATTGACGTATATGGAGGTGGCGGCGATGAGGCTGCTGAGGACGATGGTGGAAGGGGAGAAGCTGGTGATGATGACGACCGAGATGATCGAGTCGTTCGCGATGTTGAGGAGAATCGTGGAGGAGGTGGTGGGAACCAAGGAGGAGGAGCAGAAGAATTGATTTGTTTGACGTGTTTGTGGAAAGAAAGAAGGAAAAGCAGCAGATTTGATCGCTGAGTTGTGGGGAATGTCGAGCGAAGAGATTGAAAAGAAGGAGGATATCACTAGCGAGATGGAAGAAGAGGAGGAAACGAGTCAGCGTGCGATGTTTGGGATGGGATGTGACTAATAGAGGAAGAAAGTAGTGGTAGCAGAATAACCGAATTGTTGATGCTATAGAAGAGGAAAACGAGGTAGAACAAAGTGACAGTGACGAAAGCAGCTCAGAGGAAGAGGAAGACAGTGAAAACGATGACAGTGATGAAGAGGATGATAGTGATGATGATGATGACGAAGAAATGGAAGAAGAGGCTGATCTCGATGAACTGAAAGAAAAGAATAAGACAAAGAAAGAAATGGCCAAGCCAAAGGGAAAGAAGGTAAGTGGCATTTCCTTTTTTCAATTAAGAACACTCCTTCTCCATCAGACGCCAAAAAGCAATCGGAGATGGTTCACGAGCAAGATCTGAAGATTATTAACGCCTTGGACCTCTCTAGAACTGTGTATGTTCGTTCACTCCTTTCTCATTAGTCTGGTTCGCAGCGTCTCTTTCGATTTCGAAGAATCCTCCTTCCGCAAAGTCTTTGAAGCCTTTGGAGCGATCCAAACGGTCTTCATGGTACGCTCCCCTCGCGGTCGTCTTCAAGGCTATGGGTAGCCGAAAGAAAATCGAATGAATCGCAGAGCCGTCGAATTCGAAGACGCAGAAGCCGCCAAAAAAGCGATCGCCGCTGGGAAAGTGGAGTACTTGGGCCGTGAAACGACGATCTCGGTGTTGGAGAACGCAGAGGAGTTGGATCGAACAGCGAAGCGAAAACTGAAGCGAGAGAAGTTTTTGGAGGGAGTTCGAGAGAAAAAGCGAAACGAGAGAAACGAAAAGAAGCGAAAAGAAAAAGAAAAAGAAAAAGAAAAAGATGAAGATGAAGATGATGATGATGATGACGATGATGAAGAGGAGGAGGAAATAAAAGAGAGAAAAAGGGGAAACAGAGGTGGAAACCGCGGTGGAAACAGAGGTGGAAACCGAGGTGGACGAGGACGAGGACGAGGCCGAGGTGAAAACCGCGGTGAAAAGAAAGAAAGGCAAAGCGAAAGAAGCGAACGAGGACAGGGAAACCGGGGAAACCGGGGAAACCGGGGTGGTTTTAGAGGTGGTCGAGGACGTGGAGGCAGCGAAAACCGCGGAAGAGGAGGATTTAGAGGACGTGGACGCGGTGGAAACCGAGGAAACGGTGGAAACCGAGGTGGAAATCGAGGTGGGAAGTAACTGAGTTTGATGTCGTTTTGGTTTGGATGGATTTGATGCAACAAACATTGTGTTCTACCCAACTTTCCCTTTGAATGAATCCATTTGACGAAACCAATGAAACAAAAAGAGTTTAGAAAAAAAAAACGATTAAAACACAGTCAATCACTCCTCAATCGATCCATGAGACAGAGAACGAACCGAAGCTCCCCGACTTCATTCATTCATTCACAACGCATTCTCCCCGTCACTTTCCGATCCATTCGCCAAATCCACCACCACTCTCTTCCTCGGACGTCGCACCGACACAACTTCCACATCGCTATCCGAGCTGCTTCCCAACTCCAAAATCTCATCTCTCCGCTCATTGATCGGGTTTTGACTCCCAATCAACGCTTCCCTCGACGCATTCTTTCCTTCTTCGCTCCTCCTCGCTTCCATTCCTCCATTCAATCCATTCGATCCATTCAATTCATTCAATTGGATTCGTTTCGACGCCTTCGTTCGATCCGGAACAAACCGTTTCCTTCTCTGCACGCTCTGCGTTTCTCCCGTTTCCCCGTTTCCCCTCCCCGCTTCGTTCTCCGCCTGATTCGACCGCGAATTCGCCGTCAGCGCCGCGCGTCGCTTCTTCGCGAACATCCAATCCGGACTCACCGTGTTCTCCGCGTGCGGACGCGAGTGAAACGGCCGGCTGTACTGCGAGCGACGACTCGCTTCGCGATGACGATCAAACCCCGATCGCGCGGGCTCTTCGAACCGCGGGAAATCGGAGGAGGAGAAGTAGTACTGCCCCTTATTGAGGTTTTTCGAGAGGATTTTCCGCGGGTTGGCGGGTTTCCGCGGGGAAACGGGGTGCTGAGCGAAGTTTCCCTGGAGGAGTTTGCGGAGATCGCTGCTCTGGATCTGGTTCTGCAGGGAGCTCTGGACGATCTTTCGGATTTGCTCGTGGTCGAGCGTGAAGAGCTGGGAGTGCTCGCTGATTCCGTCGATGTCGAGCGACTGGAGAAAGCGCATGTGACTGGGATTTTCCGGGAGATCGACCTGCAATCGGAGCTCCTTGACGTCAGCGATCGCTCTTCTCCACGGCCTACCGCGATATTGGCGCGCATGGCGGAGTGCTGAGGGTCGTTCAGCTGGAAGAGATCCTTGAGTTCGTCTTTGGAGAAATGCCGCAGCGTGTGCTTGTTCTCGATCACCTTCTTATTGAGACACTGCTTCCACACTTGTCGCGCGTACATCTTCTCTTCGATCGTCCCGCACGTCACGCAGCGATACACGATCACGTTCTTCGTCTGCCCGATCCGATAGCTACTCCTCGCTCCGTCCGTTCATCCCTACGCTCGGTCGATCGCCTGCTCGTCCACCGTCGGGTTCCAGTTCGGATCGAGCAGCACGATCCGGTCCGCCTCCGTCACCGTGATTCCTTCGCCTCCAGCGCCCACCGTGATCAGCAGCACGCCCGATCCGCTCTGTTTGAACGCAGCCAGCGCCGCAGCGCGCTGCTCCAGCCCCAGCATGCCGTTGTAATGGATCGTGCGGATGCCTCGGCGCTGGAAACACTCGTCCAGGATCAGCAGCATCTTCAAATACCGCGCGAAGACGATCACGCGGTTTCCTTCGCTTCGGAGACGCGCCACCAGCGGAACCACGACGCTCAGCTTGTTCCCGTACGCGTACAAAGCCTCCTCGGAGAGCTGGCGAAGCAGCGACTGCAGCTTGCGGATCGACAGGCCTTTCGGCTCTTTCGGGGCCGCGCTGCTCGCTGGGTCGGGCTTGGGATCGGGTTTGGACGCTTCGAGTTTGGCTTGTCGCTGCTTTTGAATCAGTAAAGCGTATTCCATCGCCGAAAGATTCGCTTCATCTTTTTTGGTTATGTCTGTTTCCTCGTTTTCTTCTTCTTCTTCTTCTGTTTCTTCTTCTTCTGTTTTTTCTTCGTCTGTTTCTTCTTCGTCTTCGGTCGCTTCGGTGGAATCCAAATCCGACGCTCCATCGCCAAAAATCCCATCAAACAAAACGCCCTGCGACACGCCCGCCTCCCTCACCGCGACCTCGTTCACCGTGCGTCGCTCCTTCTGATTCAGCAGCATCACGTGGTTCGTTCTACGCGTCAATCCGCCCTCCATTCCTCGCATTTTCTGCAGCACGATCAAGCTCGGCAGCGCCTGTTTCGCGGTTTTCAGCGCGGTTTTCACGCGGTTGGACTGCAGGAAGCACTCGTACATCGCGATTTGCCGCGCGTTCATGCGGCTTTTCTTGACGCATCGCCTTGCTCCTACCACCACAACACGATTTCCGTCTTTTTGCTAATCGCGGGGATCGACGAATCTCGAAAAACCGCGCTTTTCTCGCGCCGCAAAGTCACCTTAAAAATCTCGTCGTGCAGCTGCTTCGCCATCATGTCTCCGTAATCGCGGATATCCTGCGTCGCTCGCTTGTCGTTGCCGCGTTCGATGGGCTTTCGGAAGACATGATCAAATGCCGATCGCTCGCCGAGCAGCTGGTGGTTGCAGAGCCAGTCCATGATGTTCCACATCTCGAGGAGATTGTTTTGGAGCGGAGTGCCCGTCAGCATGATTCGATGCTTGGATGGGATGTCTTTCAAGCATTGCGAGTTTTCGGACTTGCTGTTTTTGATCTGCGATTCAGTCCAGGAGGAGCAGGGGATTACCTTGTGGCCCTCGTCTAGCACTACATAGTCCCACGACGCTTGGTCTGTGTCTGTCCAGAAAGCGGAGAAATACTCGACGTTCCGATCCAGAGTGCCGTAGGTGGTGAGGACTACCGAGAACGCGTTGTGTACTTTGTCTTGAATGTCTTTCTTGCCCTTGGGACTCACTGAATGGAAGAGAATGACGGGCAACCCTGCAAAACAACAACCGAATATTGTCATACTTGTCCACTCGCGAAATGCATTCTGCCAAACGGGAACAACACTGTTGGGAACGACGATTAGGCAAGAGTCGAGAAGCCCGCGGTCTGCAATGGACTGCAGATAGGCGCACACTTGGACCGTCTTGCCAAGACCCATATCATCCGCCAAAAGGGCACCCTTGTAGGGACTGTTGTGCATTTTCCATAACCATTGCACCCCACTAAGTTGGTGCGGATACCTGAATCAGAAAACGAAGAAAAAGCACGTACAGACGATTTCGAAGTCCTTGTGGGATTTGCAGTTCTTCCGATTCGTCATCGCCATTTTGGATCGATTCCAGTAATTTCTCCAAGCGAGATGTTCCTATTGGTAAGGATTCGCCAATCGACCGTTACCACTCTCCATCGTTCAGAATTGCTTTGTAGAAATAAACAAAAAACACGAATACTATATTACAGTTAGAAAAGCTCGCACACAAACAAAAAAGTGGTCATGCATCACTGCATCCTGGCTTAATGTGCAATGACATGGATCTTTCCATAGAATCAGAGTCGATCATATGGGGAAAGAAATTGTAATCATCCCACTCGCTTCACTCTCGCACTACCTACCTACCTCACCTACAAAACGTTAGATGTTTTTGTCCACGTCAGCAACAATCACAAAACGATCGGCACTCGAATGCGAACAATGGGGCTTGCGTCCCCGGAAATCAATTTGGGCAACGGGAACGAACTCATTTGGATCAGTCCATATGAATTAGTGAAGTTGCCATCACACAGTCACGCTCAGACAAATGCCTCAAATGACATCATGAGAATGGATTGTCAGACTCGTCATCTATTTCCATCTTCATCGCAATGCCGTGTTTCCTCAACTCAACTCAACTCAACTCAACAATCAAAATCAAGAAAGCATTCAAATTTCGCATTCATTGTGCACGATCATATACTCAATTCAAAACACACTACATACCTAAATCAACGCGAAAACCGCTGTGAACGTGACTACCAACTCTAAACCATGTTAGACACCCAACTTTGCTCTCACAGAAAGCATCCATGATCGCACTCAGAGTCAAACGACTATCCATTTTGTCGTCGGTTAGTCCCACGAGTCTAGAAAAAGACTTGCGGGTACCTTAAAACGACAGTTCACCAGCACACACAAAACACACACTTACCTGAACACGAGCGCAATACCAAAAACAAAATGTTCTGTTGGATCTAAAAGAGATTAGACCTGTGTCCACTATGGTTTTTCCAAATAGATCAAGGCTGCAGAGCAACTCATCCGGATCAGGAATATAGTGGCAGGGCAGGAGCAAGCTTGCGCAAGCTCAACCGTCCATAAATCTAGGATCTGCTTGCTGCCTGAGACTTCACTGAGCGGTAGTCGGACTACCTTCCATGGCGTGCAAGAGCGGGAGTCACGTATGCCTGGACCCGAAGGTCCGAGTCACACATCGTCGCCGCCGGATCCAAACATTCCCGACCAAACTCAAAAAATAAAACACGACTTACAATCTACAGAAATGTTAATAACACTACTAATGTAAATAATCACAAGCAGACTAAAACACTAGCGAGTGCATTATTCCTATTCTGGATTTGCAAGCCAGATAGAAATGGTCCTATCCAGAACCTGAATACAACTCCAGAAAACTAAGATCAGAAACGATCAATTCCTATCAACATGAATGCTTCTGATAGGGGCGAAGTTTTTCATCAATTCTTTGGCCACACATTGCTCAATGCCACTTACCACTCCACACGGACGAACTAAAGAAAATTGTGGAATTTCTAACCTTGAGAGTTCAATGGTTGCGAATAAAATTCTATTATACTGGATTGTTCTTAGTCTGCGTGCAATCGTCGTGTTAATTTCCTTATCTGCCCTTTTCGAACAAACAGCTCAATTAATTTTGGGGAAATCATCATCAAATTCTGATATATCAAAGTGTTGTTCTAACGTGTCAGCTATGACCTCGAAAAAGTGTAACGCCCAATTCACCATATTCATCGCATTAAAGCACATTTCATCATCATCATCGGATCTGCAGGTCACACACCTCCATCACCTCCTACCCACAACGCATAAAGTTCATAATAAAAACTAGGAGAAGCGCATTAACCTTCATTCGATTCACCTCCACGCGTGACGTGTACAGAATCATCGTCATAATATACATGAACGTCTTATAGTTCTCTGGCGGCAGTTCTTGGATTATGCGCCACGCCTCTTCCGGAGGAATGACCTTTTGCTTTCCGAGCTGAAGGATCTTCGCTTCGACAGAATCGACGATCAGCATGGGTCGCAGCCCTCGGAGAACCGTCTTGATCATGTCTACAGCTCATACATTCTGCATGCTCCCACTTGCGATCAGAAATCCCGAATTGACGTCCAGGATCGCCGCATAGCAGCCGTCGGTGAGGTCGTTCTTCAGCTGCTGCGTGGTGCTTTCCAGCGAGGAAATGCGGAAAATACCCTCGCTGGAGTAGGCGTCCAGCTTGTACAGGTAGTACACCAGCACCTGCAAAATCTTCGGAATGTGGTCGTGATAGGGATAGGGAATCAGCGACTGTAGCTGGATGATGTTGTCCTGGGGAGTCGAGTAGTTCAAAACCGGAGTGAGCGAATTGGGCGGCGTGGCGGTCGATTTCGACAGCACTTGGTTGCGTTTGAGCTGGTCGACCGCGTCCGCGTTCACCGCACTGAAGTCAAATCCGCGCTTGCCCGACTTGGTTTGAGGGAACGAACCCGACATGGAGTTGCTGGGCGATATTGTGGTGGAGTGCGGAGTGCTGCACGAGTCGGAAAGACTATTGTACGGGTTGGTCAGAGAGGCAGCGAACGGCTCCACCGTGTCCAAATACTGCTCGAGGGAGCGGCGATACTTCTTCCCTGGCGTGTCTTCTTCCGAGAGCGATTTCTTCTCCTGGGTCAGGGTATTCGGGTCCATCGAGTCAAGATCCTGCGCGTAGAGCTGATACCAGTTGATCCACTGGTTCAGGAACCGCAAGACGCGGTCGCGCTCGATATGGGAGGACACTGCAATGTTGATGGTCTCGTCGGTGTTGTAGAGCGTCAGCTTGATCGCGAAAAGTTCCTGGTGGTTCAGTCCCTCAATGGAACCCTTGATCCAACTCACGCTCTACGAATCGGCACCAACGGCCACACTCACCTCGAAGTCCTTCACGTGGAACTCGCGCAGCTTCGGCTTGGTGGAGTGGAGCGACATCCAGCGGATCTTCAGAAGGGACTCGTCCAGAATGACGAGCCGCTCTTTGAACTCGCGGTCGTGCGTGATTCGGATGTACAGAATCACTCCTTGGAGGAACGAGGAAAACATTTGGTGCACGTAGGGGTCGCGACAGATCGAAGTGCCTACCAGTGGAGTCAGCGATGCGGAACTACATGAAAGGGGGTACCACGCATAGGAGAAGTTCTTTGGCGGCATGATGCCGTGGCTCAGCAGCATGCCCGCGAAGTTCTCCGTCTCAATGATCTCCTTCAAGGAAAGATGCGCCAGGGACAGAGGGAAGGGCTTGAAGCCTTGGTCGGCCAGGTCGCAGATCTTCGCGAACCAATTCATGTCGAAGTTGCCGATCGCTGGGCTGGGATTCTCCAAGTATTCCTTCATGATCTCGCGGGCAAAGCCTCCCACGTTCGAATCGACAATCTGCCGATACACGAAGGAGAGCACATACTTCAAAAGAGGCAGAGACGGACGACGCATCATCAGCAAGATATAGAGCAGCTTGAATCCCAGATAGCAACTCGTCTCTTGCGGGTTGTTGTTGATCTCTTTCATCGTGAAGCACACCACTTCGTCAAAGATGCTTTGACTCCAGAAGCTCTGGTAGACAATGTTATCCAGCAGCTTCTTGTTCACGGTGGAAGTGGACTCGGAGGACATATATCCAACCGTGATGTCCATGAAGATCATGATGTCCCGCTCGATCTCCAGAACCGTCGACGTGATCAGCTGATGAATGAAGTGCAGCGGACGCAGAGGCACTTCCGTGGTGTACGATATGAGCTCCTCCAGCGAGAACGAGTGGAATAGGCGGGGCTTCTTTCGCTGGAAATAGATCGATGCGTAGTGCATGAAGTCGTATTCGTTCAGATCCGAATAAAGAATCGGAGCGGACGGGGCTGAAGTCGTGGCAGGAGATGTATTGCGAGGTTGTGTGCAGGGATACGCTGGAACCGATTGGGTTGGCGTAGCCTCTTGCTCTTGTTTCGGAGTCTCCCCGCTTATCTGCTTGATGAACGAGAGCGAAAAAGTCCTACCTCGCTCGTCTTGAAGGCGGCGGAATCGGTGCAAATCGGGGGGACAACGATGGTTCGATAGCCTCCCTTTACGGACTGTTCTATCTTTTCATTCGCCGCTGGTGTTTTCGTCGCTTCTGGAACTTTTGTCTCCTTCGGAACTTCTGGTACTACGGTCTCTTTCGGCGCTTCTGCTGGTTCTGCAGCGCCTGGCACTACTGTCTTCTCTATTGCTTCTGCAGCGCCTGGCACTACTGTCTTCTCTGTCGCTTCGACCAGTTCTGTCGCTTCCGCTGCTTCTGGAGGAGTAGGAAGTGGCTGTGAAGAGCTCTTTGCTTGACTGTCAGACACCACTTCGTCGGGTTTGGCCGTTCCCTCTTTCAAAACGTCGCCGTCTGACTTGCCCACAGCGGCAGCAGCCGCCTTCTCCACTTTTTGAGAGACCGGCTTGTCCGCAGACTCGTTGATCGAGCTGGCTGCCGACTGCGGGATGGACACCTTCGAGGATGTGCTCATCACTTCCGTGTTGACCTCCTCCAACTCCGTGATTCTCCGTGCCTCCAGCGCGCTCGGCAGCGACTTTCTCGAAGGCTTCTTCTTGTCGCTCTTGCTCTCCTTCGGAAGCGCACCGCCAGTACTCTCTGCAGGTAGGTCAGACGCACTACTGTGGGAAGAATAACTGCTGCGCTGCATAGGTCGAGACCGACTGAACGACTGGTTCGAGGAGTACGGACTGCTGTAGCTGCCAAACAATCCTCGGAATAGGATAAAATCGGGAGACATCGTGCTCACACACATGAGAGAAGTGTAGGAGTTGTAGATATCCACGGAAACGTTGCACTTGGTCAGAATCTCGTTGAATTGTGCTGGTTGCAAGTTCAACCTCGATTTTAACGTCTCGATGATCCACTAAAAAGATTACTCGCAGCACAAAGCACTACGATGTCATACGGAATAACAAAGGGATGAGAAAAAACGGTCCGAATGAAGAAGGGAAGCATAGAACATAGCAAATGGTTCGCTGTATGTTGGAAAAGAGAGGAAAGATGTACAAATGATTTCGGTTTTTGTTCGTTGAATCGACCTGCGCTGACTGATTTGGGTGGCGTTGCTCATGACTCTTTTGGAAGAGCGATCTAGATCATACCTAAAAATCAGTTGAATTCACAGAAAAAGACGTTGAATAAGTACCATTTCTCGTTGGACGTAAACTTGCCACGACAACTCCGTGAATGTCATGGCCCATTGTGTTTGAGCTAATGATGTCACTCGATCTGCTGTGAATAGTATCTCGTTCGAGGAATTTCAAAACTAATGGATTCAGATAACTGGCAGGGGCATAACCGCTTTCCCCTTTCATCGTTCGCACATACACCCATCCGTCGATCTCTTCACTAAAGCAGAACACCATGGATCCCTTTTCAACGCTAACCTCCTCCGGTCTCTCCTTCGCAAACGATTCGCGGGCTGTACTAATGTGATAATTAAGATTTATAACAATTCCATAAAATAGGATATATATCGGTAGCAATCTTTCGAAAAGTTATCATCACAACTAAAATTCCTGATTCTAGCAACATCCGGATCATCTTGCGGAACATTCTTTACGACAGCTCCAGTTTTAATATTGGTGTAAAAACTGGAGCTATTTCCAGGATAGATGCATTCATACCAAACAAAATCATCCATTAGAGATCTCAGGAGAGAAACATGGTTTTTAAACGGATGTGCTGTCAATTTCGGGAATTCCAGAAATAGGCCTTTCCCTCCATTGTATTCCAGTTCTTTCAAACAATTACCTATTGCAGTGATGATTTCTCTTTTTTTAATTGTCTATGCAGTCTCTTCAACGGTGGTACGAATAGCTGAACTATTCGAATGATAGTTGTTTTATTATCAGCGCAATCTCGATAAGGACCAGATTGGCTTCTCTTATAATAAAGTCGTCTTTCGCTGCGATTTTGATGTAGGTGATTAAAGAGAGAAGGATATATCTCGTTATGGTTTCTCTCTTTGAGCACCGTTCGGTTGAGCAGCTTCTTTGCGACATTGCTGCTTTCTTTTGCAATGATTGTACAAATTTGATTGCTGTTGCCTAAATCCTATAGACTGTCAAGAAAACAGTTCGTTCCAGACATCGTTTGTCGATGTCCTATTCTTTGGTTACTTGGTGAATGTCGTGTACCTTTGCATAATGTATGTATTAGACTCTAACAGGTAATCTCTTCATGAAGGCTCCAATACTAGTGATGCTCGCGATATTCACTTTTCGGGATTCTATGGACTGTGTACGTACATGGCTTTCGGGAACTCTGTATGCTTCTTTTTGCTCCACATTTACTAATAGTTCACTTTATTTCGTTCTTTGCTTCCTCTTTCATTCAGCACACTGGTGTTTTTGCTCAATGTCGCAGCCTTGGTTGGACTTCAGTTTGTATATAAGCAAGAGTATTGTTGCAGTATCAATTCCCACTCCCCTGTAGACGCCAGCTCATTCTCTACAGTTGTTTGCTGCTCCTCTGCGAACCCCTGATTCTCATACTAATTTCTTCTTATTGGCGATGTACGCTCGTCGTTTGTATCATACTTGTGTCTCTTTTAAATGCTCTTGTACGCTGTTGGTCCTTCTTTCTCCACGTAGGACGTTTTAAATAATGCAGTTCTTCCCAACAACAACAACAACAACGAGGAAACGCCCTATTTTCTCCAAGAATTGCATGCTCTTCACTCCCTTGTTTGTTCACTCAAACACGCCACAACTCAATCGCCACTTAGGCCTCGATATCCAACTCAATCGCCACTTAGGCCTCAATATCCAACTCAATCGCATCTAATTCGTCCAGATCGTACAAATCGTCCTCGTTCACCGCCTCCTCCTCCGTAAAGTCATACAATGCATCCTCGTCTGGGTTGTACACAGGGACTCGCGGCTTCACATTCTCTGCACTGGGCTTCGCTTGCGCTCCTGGTTGCGTCTTGACGAGTCCCTTCATTCGCTCCGCCACCGCGATCTTGAACGACAGCCATTCACCTCGCGTCCACTGCACTACACATAGGAGAAGGCACTACAACTCGCACCTGTCTGCACGCCCGTGTTGTACACAGTCATGCATCCGCGCGTGAATCCACGAGGATTCGCCAAGTACATCGCGAGAGTCGCTCCCAAAATGCCCAGAACGACAATCCGAGCTGTGGTGTGTCCATCCTCGATTTTCTGAAATAATCAAATGCCAGCTCCATTTCTTCCTACTTCCACCGAAATGAGCGGAGTGAACACACCGAAAATGCCCTTATCGTCACGATCCAGGTCTGGGAAGATCCAGATTCGGTAGCCGAAGAGGTAGCAGACGAGGAAGATGGCAAAACGAATCACTTCGAGGCCAATCAAACCCAGGGTCAGGAAGAGCAACAGATAAAAGACGATATTCTGGAGCGGGCGGGGCCAAATTCTGTAGGTGAACACAGCGACAATGGCGAGAAGGGTGAATGCCGTCTTCAAGTATCGCATTCCCTACACTTTACGAAACCAAGCTAGACGCACAGCAGGACCGTCGTAATCCCAAGAATAAACATATTTCTTATCCCACATGTCGCCGTTTACGCGAATGATGCGACGGAGATTATCGGGTTTCTGCGCGGTATGCAAAAGCTTTCTGTCAAGAAGCGCTTCCATCACAAGCTTGATCAGCATTGTCACATCCTCCTCAGCAACCTGCGGAAGCTTTGCTTCTCTGCGATGCGCCTCATCTCGGAACCATTCGTCGATATGCTTCCCCTTCGTGCATCTGGAGTGCTTTCTATATTCATCTATTGCATCAATGACCAAATCACCTCAAAGTACTCTCTTCAGTCTGAAAGATCTCCGTAACATCATACTTTGACGGACCTCTTCCGCTGAGGAGAGTATTGGCAATGGTCAAAACGTTTTCCTCATTCTCTAGGAACTATTTCATAAAACGAAGCGTGCAGCAAGTACTTCGCGCAGTTTTGGAATGGATGCTATTTCCGAACTCATGAAAAGTTGCGACAAATCGAACTAATAAAGGAGAAAAGGCGTTTCATCGCGAGCGAAATAATGCAATGCGGGACTTGTTCGAAGCCCAATTGTGGACAGAAAGGAATGGTTATAAGGGCCTACCAAAGAGACGGCGAGTCGACAATTGATTTGCTAAAACCTCAATTTCGTGTGTAATTTGCAAGTGTCTGTTGCTTTCATTCAAATTTGGAAAAAAAAACTACAGTTGCAAGAGTCAGTTGCTGAAAAGAATCGACTCAAAATGAAACTCCCCTTAACCCTCAACACAAAATTGGTAGTTATGGAATCTATCCGCAGCAAAATACCGAAGGATGTATTGGATGAAATCTATCGGGCTGATCAAACGCATGTCTTGAGTTTTTTTGAAGAAGATGATTACACTGAGGAGGATATTGCATCGCTTGTACGTCAAGTACGACTCCTTATTATTGCTTCACACTAAAGTGTCGGAGTTTTGACCTAATCCGTTCCCGCAACTTATATTCGAAATCAATAAGCCAAAGCGGAAAATTGAATAGTTTGTATGAAAAAATATCCGAATATCCAGAGGTACGATTCGATCTGTCCTGTTTATTTCAGAATTACATATATTCGGAAGACGTGGATCCGGAAGATAGAGAGAAGTACAAGACGGCAGGCTGCAAACTGATAGCTGACGGAAAGGTAGCTCTAGTTTTGTTATCGGGTGGCCAGGTTTGGGTCTTTTGACAGTCCTTAGCTTTTAGTCAACCCATTTTAATCCGACAGTTCCGAAGGGGGATTGTGATTTTGGCTTTCCTTCTCGTTCGTTCTCTCCTTGCCTTTTTATTGTAGATAAAACGCTTTTCGAACGGATTTTCCTGTCGGTTCGAAAGATCCAAAACATCGTGGAGCAACGTTTCCACATTCAAGTGAACATCCCTATCTACATCATGACCTCGGAGTTCAACAACGACTCGATCTCCGCTCTTCTCAAGAAGCACAACTACTATAATCTCTCCGAGAGTCAGTTTGTTCTCTTCTCGCAAGGCTCCCTTCCCTGTGTGGACCAGGAAGGACTTTTCATCATGCAGAAGAAGAATCAGGTTGGTTCAGGTTTTGCTTTTCATCTAGATCGCTCTCTCTCCCGATGGAAGCGGTGGTTTCTATTTTGCAATGCACCGCCATCATCTTCCGAGTCAGTGGAAGGAGAAAGGCATCGAGTACATCCATGTGTTTGGAGTGGACAACGCGATGGAGCTGGTAGATGGATGGATCGAGTCGTTCTGATGTGTAGCCTGCGGATCCGTTCTTTTTGGGCTACTGCCATGAGTGTGGAAGCGAAGTTTGCATGAAGTGCGTGGAGAAGTCGTGTCCTGAAGAGCAACTCTCGGTCCTCGTGCAGTACAAGCATCGTCCCTTTATGGCGATTGATTCTGAAATGGGCTATCGAAAGATCTGCAAACGCAATCAGTTCGGAGAAATGGTGTATCGGATCGGGTTCGTTTTCGATACCATCATGACGGTTTCGTTTCTCTCAGAAAAGTGCGTGGAGTCTGCTCTTCCCGACTCGTTTCCTGTTCACTTTTTTGGCTGACGTGTAGTTGTCATATCGTGAAGAAGGCGACTCCTTACTATGATTCGATTTTGGGTCGAACGATCAAGCCAGTCACGCCGAACGCCTACAAGATGCAGTTCTATCTCACGGATATTCTGCAGCTGGTTCGAAAGCTGGATGTGATTATGATCCCGCGAGCGGAATACAACCCCATTCGAAATCCTCCCGGTAGCGAATGTGTCGCGATGGTCATGTCTAGGAAGCCATGTTGCGTGTCCCGAGACAGCGGTGCGAAGCATGGAAGCGACTCATCTGACATATCTCCAACACAACCAAGCTCTGATCGAGGGCGAGTCGCGAGTTGTGGAGATTTCCCCTCTGGTCTCGGTGAGAGGAGAGGACCTTCAGCGATTGAGGGGAGTGGAGATCCATTTGCCCTGTTTGATCTACGATCGGTCCGAAGTGGACCAACCGTACGAAGTGATTGCGGAGGGAATCGGGAAGCTGGTCCAGCCTGTGGAAGGCTACGTCGTTTATCTGTTCTTGTGATGTGTAATACGCTATTTGCCTCATGTTTGTGTAAAAAAGAAGCGAATGCAAGATATACCAAATACAGAAAAAGATACAGCAAGCCATCACAACAGCCACAATCAAGTTATCGCGCGTTTTCTTATCGCCGATCTTCCGCATCAGCTCATTCACCATGGGAAGTCGCGTAAAGACAGAGAGAACTTTGGAACGGCTGGACTCCAAACGCTTTCTCTGATTCACTAAAAGACTGTGCGATTCGGCAGCGCGACTATGCGTGAGAGAACAGACACGCAAACTACTCCAGATACGAATCTGCCATTTGGAGCGATGCGTGAACAGCGCCTCGCTCCTTCAAAAGAGCTTTTACATCGGAGTCCTCTGAAGACATGCTAGAAATTAGGAATAAAAAACAATCGATGGAAAACGAATGAACATGTTGAGGGTGAAGTAGTTGCTGCCGTTCTCGTTTCAGCGATAAAATATCCTATCCATTATAGAAATAAAAAAAAGTTACATTAATACGATTGAAGTCTTTACGAAAGTCGACGAGAACCGCTTTTTGCCGCTAAAAAAAAAGAACAGGCACCGAACCCATACTTCAATGATAGAGTTATATTTGGGATCGGCTTGATAGTCTGCTATCTTCACTAGTTCGTCCAGACTCGTCACATACTACAAGGAATACAATCGACGATAAACTACATTCCGAATCATTGTCTGTATGCTTTCACACATATTCTCAATATCTTCTGACTGCTTCTCTACAGAAAACCCCCATAATCTCTCAAATACCAATATTTGGGCAGGAAATATCAAAGTTCCGAATAGCAGAACTATAGAGCTGGAGTTTTGACTAAAAGAAACAAGTGTGTAGGCAGAACCCACTTGAAGGCGATTTTCGATTATTCGCGTGTTAGACAAGACTACATTCCACTAATAATAAGTGAATTCAGGGAAGGGGAGTACAGATGCCATTTCGAAGAAAAAGAGTGAAGTACGTTTCAGCGAAAAACGAACCGGTAAAACACAATTTGTACTACAATAGCGCACAAGAGCCTCAACTATTATCTGCCAAGTCAAAGGTACTTCTTCCTCTCATGTAAAATTATATACTACTTACATTACAACAAAATGGTGCCAGAGAAATAAGAGTACAGTTCGCTTTCATCGCTATTTCACAAACGTAAAGTGATCCCTATGATTCCTATAAGCACACTACCCTTCTCCCACAAAACAAAAAAACTCTATCTTGTACTCTTGTAGTAATATTAAACCAGTCTAAGCTTTTTTGACTGTTCTATACTGTACCAAATATCTGTTTTTTGAGTTTTCTCGAGTATGGACTGTGTTGCAGATTAACTGATCTAGAAGTCCTTTTGATTCTTTTGATATCTTTTCCTCCTTCTTTACTGCCTGTTAGCTTGTGTTCTGTATGATGGAAACAAAGGCGCACAATCTGCTATCTGTGATTAGCTGTATTCTGCAGCACGTTGTGGAAGAACAGGACAAGGTGGAATCAATCCTGTTGGCTGAGTTGTAGAACATTGCTTTTGCCACCATTTCTTGTTTTACTTCTCAACACAAACCTGGGATATCGATATATGACTACTTGCAGAGGTAGCTATCCGATCGCCGCTTTTACGTAGACTATGTACCTACTCGCATTGCGGAAGCGAGCCACTTATTTTTTCTCTAATTTACATCGATCGCCTAATACAAAGTCAATCTGTTGCTGTTAATTCGCTTTCTATCCATCGTATTCTTGTCACAAGGTAATCTCTTCTCCACTCGACCTGACTTTTGTAGTCTGGTAATTGCCACGAAATATCTTGAAGACGTTTGCTGTGTGAATAGCTATTTTGCCAAGATCGGAGGATTACAGACGCGTGAAATCAATCTCCTTGAGTCAGAGTTTTTACATGCCATTTGCTTTTCTCTGTACGTTTCACAGAGTGATTATGCCATGTACTTTTTTGAGCTCTGTCACCACGCGGACAGTGGTATTTGTCCGAATTGCTGTAGAGTTCGAGGGAGAGAACGAGCTGTAGATGGGCTTTGCTTTTCTAATCTGCTGGAAGATGAGGATCGTGCTTACACGATCAGCCGCGACCAACTGAAAGCGGCTTCATCCGATTCTCCAGTGAATGTTGTCTGTTCTGCTTATGAAGAACAATGAATGCTTGTATTCTAACTTCAAACTGAAACTTGAAAACTTGAAACCTGAAAACTTCAAACTTCAAACTTCAAACACTAACTGTTCTGTTCTATGTATTCTTGTGTGTTTGTTAAACAAGATTATTTGCTACAACATCCTTTTTTCGGAGAGGAAGCAGCGGCAGCAGCGCTCAGCTTTCTACAAAGATGAGTCCCCGCAAAAACCTTCTACACTTGATCCGAGTTCTCTGCTTTCATCTCCAGCAGCTGAAATCCAGTTTTCACGTCCGAGGTCATGCTTTCTTGGACACGCAGCGCAATCTTGACGAAGAGATCTGACACACCTTCTCCCGTCAAAGCACTCGTTTCAACATATAACAGATTTTCCTTAGAACAGAAATCCTCTATTTCCTAACCATCATCCGCAAATCAAATTTCGACTTCGTGAGAAACAACACAATTCTCCTTCATATCACTCTTGTTTCCTGCAAGGACAATGACTAAGCATCTCGGAAAACAACACCAATGATACTTATATTATCGTCTGCACACGAACGGATGTTCGTCAACCATTCGGATTTTACAGCATCAAACGTCGACTACAAGTCATTTCAATGCTGAGAAAAATGCTTTTTGCGTTAAATCAAAAACAATAACCGCAGCAGCAGCACCGCGATAATATAGCTTATTAATACTACGATATCGTTCTACGCAATTATTCCTCTCGGCAAATCTTTAAACCCTGTCCGGCTGTATCCCAAATATCGAACTTCACAGTAAGGTGTTCATCCACAACAAGAGTTTTTGTAAAGTATGCAACTATACAACACACGAAGATTGCATTCACTACCTCCCACACTGGCTATATGATTCTTTGGGAACTTATCTTCCACGAAACGAGATGCTAGTGACGTTTTCCCGACAGCTATATCACCAACAATCACCATTTTCCCTTTAAAAACAAAAGAGGACATTGTACAAACTAAAAAATGTGTTTCACTTGATAGAATTCTATTTTCGATCTTTATTGCGGGAAACAATAAGAATGTCTCGAACGAGACGCGTCCCAATTTGAAGATAGCGACTACAGAGGGTGATGTGAATTCATCGTTTTCTTAATAAAGAAGACGTAGAGGTCTATTTCCTAATGAATTTATGCAAAATAAGACAAAAAGTATAAAAATACAAAACCCACAAATAAAGAAACATCTTTCCTTCAATGACACATAAAAATTCTGATGAATATTACTTTCGATACAGGAACTGAGCAGTTCAAGCTCTATGTTCAACCATCAGATAGCTTGTCGATGTATCTAGAGGAAATCACGGTTTGACATATTACTTTTCCTCATCCCTAGACAAGAGTACAGTGCGAAAAAGCGGATATAGCATTTACACATGATAATAAAAGAGTGCAAACCTCAAAACCAATAATGGACTGGATATCAGACAAAAAGACTGTATGCATACTAATGAAATATACATATACAATTCAGTGGAAAGAAAAAGTCAAAAGAATTCGTTCATATACAAATATACGAGTTTCCCGGCTTGTTCAAGAGTGCGTAACTCAATTTAAACTCTCGAATAAACCTATTTCGATGTACATTCTGAAAACTGCAAATGGTAGAATGCTAGAATCATCTTCCACTCTTCCTTTTTGTGGAATTTCAATGACTTTGAGTTTGGTCTGTGTGGAGAGCGTTGAAATATCGGTTAATAAGGACAAGATTCTACTGTCCGTAAAAGTGAATCCGTTTGCAACTGTGAGAGATTTAGTGAAAGTAGGAATTCAATTTGAATATTCAGTATGAGAAAATATGCAAAACAGATTATTTCCTATACACTTTAGTAGTGAATAATCGCAGTGTCGAGGACTACGTAACAATACAAGAGTTGAACTTACGCAATACGGATACGGTATCATGTAAGCAGAATCATTTCTTTTCATACACAGTGATCAAAACTGCTTTGAAAAGAAGGAGAGATTCTGTAAAGGAAAAGCCAAGGCAAGCAGTTGATTTTATGGAGTTACCCGAGTTATCAGATGGTAGTAGTAATTCCAATTCAGAGTCAGACGACTCACAACAAAGTATTTCTTCCGAATTATCATACTCTTCTCTGGACTACGAAGAGACAGCAAACGAGAAATTACGTATGATAGGTCTGCATCCGAGTACTCTTTCTTCAAATCATTTGGATTCTACGACTAATGTCCCAAAGGCAGAAGCAGGCAAAAGACCGAAATACGAAAACCATAAGCAAAAAGCAGCCATTCAAGAGAGTGATGAAGATAATACTGGATCTCTCAACAAAAAACATAAGGAAGACAACAAAAAGAGAGTACAGGACCATAATGGGAATGCAGAATTCGATTCTCTCATAGAACAGCATTCCACCAGCTCTTTGGTCCAAAATTCAGAGGAGTCCAACCAATCAATGCTATCATTTAGTGTCTTTGCTGAGAGTGAGGAAATTCCATTAACAATGGAAAAGACTGACACAATTGCGCAATTGATTATGGTATAAGTATATTGCTATGCTCATCAATAGGATGTATGCGGCAATGATACGGAATTGGATGAGTATGTTGTTGTAAAAAAGGGCTATAATCGCATTCTTTTGCAAACAGAAAGACTCTCAGGAGAAAATATGATATGTCTACTAGCAACTTTTGTAACTAATTCATAGTGTATATCGCAGATGAGACGAATATTATTACAGTGCAATACGCCCACGACATTATTCAGTTTGTGTTAACCGAAAAGTTAACGCTACGTGACATTCTGAGTGAAACAGATTATCCCTCAACAGGTCAGCTATATATTAAAGGTGTAGAAAAACCTCTCAAATCAGATGTACCACTTGTGAAACAAGGAGTTGAGAATAAAATGGAATTAGAGTGTATATCGTTCTAGCTTACTACTATTTTGTAGATAAGGATACAGAAATTAAAAAGGAAATACACTTGTATGAAGGTGACAAACTGATTGCTCTACAATATGAACCCGAAAAAACAGTTTCCGATATTATAGAAAGCTATTTGGCTGTATTTCTGAGGAAAGGAATGAACTGTAGCTGAAAAAAGTGAAGGCAATAAAGACAATTCTCAAACAAACTGTCCTTACAATTCATAAACAGTTTGACATAATTGAAAATTCTACAATAATGAAAGACATAGATTCTCAGGAGTTTGATGGTATTATCTTTTGCAAATTGTATTCATCAATAGTATATAAGAGAAAAGAATTGGAAAGGATACAGATAAACAAAGGAAATAGCAAAACAAATAGTCTTGCCACAGAGAAAAAGGAAAGAAATGAAATGAAAAATAAGGATACTCAGTTAAGCAACGAGTGTAAAGATGAAAGCAGCAAAACAAAGAGGAACGGAAACAAGGCAGGTCGTTGTGAAATAAAAAAGAAAAATAAGGAGGAAAAGACCGAGATAGATACACATGCTGAACATAATAAACAAGAGACAAATGCAATGGGGGGATTAAAAGCCGATAATGAAGGACATAAACCGGTTGAGAAGACCACGCTTACGGCAATCAAAATTCTACTTGAATTTGACAAGGACAAGAAAGAAATAGATATCTCGAATCCTGAGGTTAAGGAAAGAACTGAAGAAATAGACAAAGAAATCGCCGTAAGATACTATATCATCAAGTTAAGATATAGAATTTTACAAAATGCAATTGTTGTCAGTTGTTCTTTATAGATGGTAAAAAAAGGATTCAATCTGTAGACGATCTGGCTAAACGAACAGATAGTCCAGTCAGCATTACAATTTATAAGGTTCAATTCGATGTTAAGAATGATAATTAGAAAGAGATTTTCCAAATTAATAACTGGGAACCAACTATAATTACTAATTGCGATAACTCAACACTTTGTTATTATGTTTATTGTAGGGTTAACATTATAATCTCAATACAGGGAAAACGACAAAATTCAGTTTCATTGGCTTGTCGAGGCTGTTAATAGCAAGGGGACTACGTACCATAAAGACAATCACTATTAGCGGTATGCTTTTTTAAATCAGTGATATACAGACCAAGAGAGTGAAGTTTCTGGTATATACGAACATTATACAAGCTTTCTTTTAACAGAATTTATCCTACCATGTATGGTCATTTTGTTTTTATTTACTTATTAGTAACTTTATTGTCAGACAAACAGTGTAACGATTTGTGTGATCTCCTTACTAAACAGAAGTTTAAAGGTACAATAAACATAATTCTAAGTAATAATATTCATTAATTCGTTATCATAAGAATCCAATTCATCCAGAAAGAGATTGTCATCAATCCAGTTATCATTTAAAGTCTTTAGTAATAGGAAAAGAGAATTCGATGTGAAGATAAATGGAAACCATATTAATAATCAATCCAAGCTTAACATTCAAAATGAGGACTTAGCTACAAATCACAAAATTCAAGAGATTAGTAGGATTATTGTGATATATTATTTTTACATTAGAGTTCACTGATTTTGAAAATCATGAGTTTGAAATAATGAAGAACAATAATCGGAGTTATGGAAATGATGAATCGATTTTAGTGTATGAAACAACAACAACAACAAATAATGGTGTATCAGAGATGTTTGATTCTCTCAATGTAATCTACAAGAGATCCAAATTTGTCTATAATGAAACAAGTGGATCATTTAGAACAAAGAAAACAAAAGAGAAAAAGATCATAGAAGAATATGAAAAATATTATTCCCTTCAATCTGCTTTGACTGATGGATGTGATTATGCTCATATGGGAGATACGATTAGTTTCAGTGGAAGACCTCATTTGCAGAAACAGGAAACAACATTCATTCTTCCACTTATCAATTCTAATGAAGCTCAAACTCATAATATCATTCCTGAAACAATCTATTTCCACTGCATTTCTGGAGTGAAGAATGCTACGATTGGCATTTTGTCTCCTCTTGATGAGAATAAGGTTATCACTGTATTATGCAGATCCAATGTGCTCATTTTCCATTCCACAGAGGAATACGTTCAATTAATCATGGCAATACGCTCTGACAGAGAGGATTGGAAGTATATCGAATCGAAAGCCTATCGATATGTAAAAACAATGAAAGAAGATCCTCCGTTTATCAGAGAAACAAATCAAACCAAAATTCGAAATCAAATCGTGGAAGATGTGATTCAATACAACATTCCAGTGGTGATTGAGGGAGTGACCTCGTCAGGCAAAACATTCACGGTGGAGCAATACTGTCGACGTTCTCTCGTTCCCTTTGTGAGATACAACTTCAGTCCTTCGTCCACAACTGAGGAATTGCTTGGAGATATGGTAATTACGAACGATGATACTGAAAAGATCAAATTCCAGGATGGAGCTTTCACGGATGCATTCATTCATGGCAAACTGCTATTGATGGATGAAATGTCTCTGGCTCCTCCTTCTGTGGTTCAGAGTGTGTTATCGTATTTGTTTGGCAAGAAGATTCTTCATGAAGGCAAGGATGGAAGTGAAGAGCGTGTAATGCATCGAGATTTCCGCATTATTGCCACTCAGAATCCTGCTGGAAGTTCTTACAAGCGAAACAATCTGTCTTCTGCAATTCGCGATTGTTTCCGTTTTGTCACTCACGATTCAACGAAACAGAAATACTTCCCAATGATTGACAGAGAGGAAAGATTGGACATCATAACGGCGATGTTTGGAGGAGATACAAGAATTGGAGAAAGAGTGTGTAATGTTCATGATCGAGCTGATAATCGAAAGAATGTGTCTGGAAGAGAGATTGATAAAGGGAAGGATTACACACTTCGAGATTGTAGTAGAACAAAATGGATGATGGAGACACTGATGGATAAAGAGAGAATCGGTGAAAGCAAAGCATTGAATCGAGCTTTACAAATCGCATATAATGAAGATTTGAAAACAAATCCAGTATTCAAAGCGGATATTACTTTCAGCAAAGCTGCATTAGACAAGGAATGCTGGAAGGATGTGTATGATCGAGTTCGACTAGGATTGGAATCTGGATGTCATGTTCTATTGATTGGAGAAACAGAATATGTATCTCGAAAGTATTGTCGAGCAATAATGGAGATAATGCAGAATGAAGGAACATCCTGTGAAGTGATTCATTGCAGTTCGACTTCTTCAACAGAAAGTGTGATTGGAAGCTATTCGCTCGAGAAAGATGATGATGAAGGCAAACCAGTTCCTCGTTTCTGTCCTTCTCCATTGCTTAAAGCGATTGAAAATGGAGGTATTTGTGTTCTTCAGTCGATGCATTTGATGAAATCGAATGTGATCGAGCGATTGAACTCTGTGTTGGAATTATCACCTGCAGATGGCCATCATCATGTAGTTCGATTTGATGAACGTCGAGAAAGACCGGAATTCGAAATGAGTCCCGAATTCCGTGTAATCGCAACAACGTCTGAGAAGGGATTGCTGGCATTTTCTCCTGCCTTGAGAAATCGATTTTTGGAAGTATTTGTGAGTCATGAAGATGCAAAGCGATTTGAAAACTCTCCCAAGCTTGAGAATAGTGAGGATAAAGATGAGATTGATGATTTGATTCATGATTATTCTCAAACAATCGACTGGTTCAAGCAGCAAGAACTCCATCGAATGGCTTATTTTGCCACTCAGTTAGCTGGATATGAATTGGATGAATCTCTGATTGAAATGCTCGCTAGACAACAGCCAATTCCTGAACTGCAATCCCTTCGAAGCCATTGGACTGAAGCTTCGAGATTGTTCTATTGTATTTGTAGGAACAAGGCTGTGGCACTGTGTGGACCTAGAGGCAGTGGAAAGTCCTATGCAATTCGCGAAATCATCAATAAGCTCTCTATCAGAAACTATCAAGTGTTCAGTGTATCTGGAGAAACCGAGTTTTCCACTCTGATGGGAAGTGTGGATATGAATGGCGATTTCCGAGCTGGAAGATTGATTCAAGCTGTAGAAAATGGAGAATTAGTGATATTCGAAAATGCTGAAAACATGTCAGCAGAATTACTGGAAATGCTTGATACTGTTTGTGATCCTTTCACTGATGAGTTCACTTATCCAGCTTCTATCAATCATTCAATTCATCCTTCATTCCGAGCTTTGTTCGTATTCACAACACGTCGAGTGAGTTCGTTGCCTTCTCTTCCTGCTTATTTCGATATTTGTGAAATGAGTCCAATCCAGAGTGATGAAGCGAAAGAGTTGATGAATAGTGAAATCTGCAAACGATTATGTGATCATATTGATAGTGGTGAGATTCCATTGAATGAAGTATTCACTCTGGATAAGATTTGCTTCAATTCTCCTCATCCAATTTGGATTGTAGCAGCATTGTTTGCAAATCGAATGGATCGCAAAGAACTACTTGAGAGAGTGATAGAAGAATGGAAAAAGACATCTGATACGGAAGTGAAAGAAGAATTGGAAATGGCAAGTGTGGTTTTGTCAACTCCAACAGTAACAGCAAGAAAATCCCCAAAGAATGAATCTAGGTCATTGCTTCAACGTGGACCTCTCGAAACAACAGTGCCAATCGAATATTCAAAGCTCAAGGATTTGGATTCTTCTGTATTGACTGCATTGTTTACTATTTCCATTTCCAATTTCAAGCAAACTCACCTTCCTGTGTTATTGGTTGGTGATTCAGATATTGCTTCTGAAGTCACTCATTTGCTGTTTCCCAATGCTGCTCATATGGAAATGTCTCGTTCAATGGAAATGTCTCACACATTTGGTGAGATTTCTGTTTGTCGTAAAGAAGACATTCAATACATTCTGAGACAAACATCGATCCAAAATGTTGATGGAACTCCGATGGAGGTATATCGAGAATACCTGAAGAGGTTATTGTATAGCGTGGCAGATTATGAATCATTGCTCATGATGCGTCCTGGTCCGATTCTCCGTTCGATAATGAGTAACAATTCGATCGTGTTGAACAATATCAATCTATTGAATGACCGATTGCTTCCTCGATTATATTCATTGTTGTTTAGTTTGGATTCGCAAGAGTTTAGTCTATTCGAAGATTATTCCCAAATTCAAACAGAGATTCTTGGTGAATCTGTGAATGCGATTGTAACATGCGAAGATCCAGATTATGGAAGAGTTGCAAAGAAAGACCAATTCATTCAAGTGTTTTGTCAACCCTATTCTGAATTAGAAAGGGCGAAATATGAGTTTGAAAGTCGAGATGACTATCCTTTGCACATTCTACGAAAGTCAAATATGCTGAGGAATGAATTTGTGAATGCTGAGAAAGTGATTCCATTCTATTTTCGATTCCTTCAATCTGATTTGGCATCTCGAGAGAATCTGATTCAAATGGGAATGATGAATAAGGATTTGAAGGAAGTGAGTGAATTCCTTCAATCAAGCAACAAGGATGATGCAATGCTAGAAAACGTGAAGCAAACTCTATCATTCCTATTTACAAATGATGTTATTGATGATATAGAATCCAGCCTTCATTCCAAGCATCCATTACTTCCTACAAAGACCACGATTCAGCTATTGGCATCCATTGTATTGGCAGATCGAAGTCATCTTCCTCTGATTCTTGAAGGAGATCCTGGAGTAGGCAAAACTGTTTCTGCTGAGAATTATTTCGTAAAGGAGAATCTTGACTATAAGCGAATCAATTTTTCGAATACCATAACGATTGACAGTTTGTTTGGATGTTATACGATTGTGAATGGATCATTACAATTTAGAGATGGAAGTATTACAGAACTATTGAAAAGAGGAGATC